TCATTTGACTCCTCAGTAACTTCACAAAGGGTTTCTGGTAGTTGGTATTTGATTAAGTATTTACATGTTTCCTTTGAGAGCTCTACAAGGTCTCTGTCATATGGAGGAAACGTTTCCATGAGATGTCAATGTAAAACCTGTTAGACTGAAGATTCTCTGACACCTGAGCTTGTGTTTTTTCTCATTTCCTTGTTGGCTTGTGGCTGCAGTCAGCAGGACATGGATAAGGCCCAGGGCAAATATTTGAATGTATGTTTAACAAGTATTCACATGTACATTAATTAAGAGAGTGATTACCAGCCAACAGCTGTGGGGTTTCCGTGCTGGGCAGCTGAATCGGCCATCACTGTTACCATTAAAATTACCGGTGCAATTACCAATTACAATTACCAATTACAATCACCAATTACTGTAAAGCGGCATGCATAATTTTGACCTTGTCGGTGAAAAGCCTCTTACTGTTCAACAGTGCAATTTGCACATGGGCTGGGAGATTGCAGCTTTCACCAGAGTCAGAGAGATTGAGGTCACCTCCGTTGTGAGGCAAAAGTCATTTATTTCTGTATGCGATTCACTCTGCCCTCATGTTCTTCACATCAGCGGCAAAGCTAAGCTTTGTCTTAGGGTCACTGACAGCACTTTTCTCAGGATGGGTATTTGCTAGCAAAATCAGAGTATGATTCCTTTTGCCTGCTAATATGAGTGTATTTGTTTGATTTTGGTGCTGGTAGGCATCTGTATATGGATTCTGTTCTATCCAGATTGTGCTACAGAGCCTTCAGGTTGTTTTTTTCATTTAATTTACCTGTAGCCTCTTGCAGACGCTCTCTGCCTAACAGCATAGAAGCAGGTTGGACGTGCTTGGATTGAGTGTGAATCACACCGGCTACGGAGGAAGACGGCCATTTCTTGGTCTAGAAATGTAGCCATGCGAGGACAATGTGAGCAGGGAGTGATGGAGAGCTCTGGGCAGGAAGGGGGCCTCCTTCTGGTGGGGGGGGCGGGCGAGTACCTCCAGTGTGAAGAAGGGCAGGATCTGAGGAAGACCAGGGCCCTGCGTGGCTGCTGGTTTTGCTCTGGCTGTCGTCTGCATGTTAATTAATTGTTCTGTGTGCAGCACGTAACTGGCGTGAGCAGTGTGTTCTCAGGGATTGGTGACATGTTAGGCCCCTTATTCATAGGTCCTGCCCTCCCCCTCAGCCTCATTCCCAGCTCTGAGTCAGGGATCGTCGCAGGTAACTGGACCAGAGTCTCTCCAGCTTTCTCTGCGACGTGAGAAAATGCTCAATTCAGCTTAACCCTGCATTACCCACACCAAAGGCCTAGGGTTTATTATGGATTCTGTCACTAATGCTACCAGGCTGCTTATCGAGTTTCTCTTATATTGTTAAATGGAAAGAACTTGTGATTTTCATATTTTTGCTCTGGTGTGTTTTTGGGGAATATGTCCCTTAAATCCAACAGTACTGCAGCGCTTTAAGCACAAACAGTGACAGCCTTTGCACTCAGTGGACACATTATTAGGTACACCTAGCAAGCACCTTAGGCGCCTGTTTTACATCCAGAACCACGTCAAGGTTGGACAAGTTATGCTTGCAGAGAAGCCTTTCTGCACTATTATACTCAGCTGTTATTTTTGTGCTTGTGGCCTTGCTGATAGCTTTAATGAGTGGCCATTCTCCTCTGACCTCTCTCATTAATGGGATATTTTTACCCACAGAACTAACGCTGACTGGGTGTTTTTTTTTGTTTGTTTAATGCACATCGTGACAGTCCCAAGAGAATGATTGTTTCTTAGATGCCGCAGCCACAACATCCAGCACCGACGATTACACCGTACTCGAAATCGCTCAGATCGCACGTCTTAGTTGCTCAGCCAAACAGTAACCGAACCTCTTGTACTGTATGTATTCAGCTGATGTCACACGATTCTCTGTTTTCGAGGAGCCAGCTGTGTAAGTTACCTGGCTGCCGAGTGAATATCTGGGCTGTACCATCTTGAACCAGATGGCTAGTGTAGGGCAAAACAGAGAGAGTCTCTCAGGCCTCTGGTTTTGTTTGGGCCTTGAAAATGATAGATCACACTGGCATGGGGGAGGGGCTTAGCCAGACCTGGGTCCTGTAAGGAGATACCACCTTCTGTATGGGGGACAAAGGGGGGGATTCTTCATGATGGACATTGTTTCACTGGTCCTATCCTGTCACATGTATATCTCCTGCTGTATCTGGGGCAGGAACAGAAGGACCCTCTTCCACCATTTGTTGTGTTGGGTGCGGCCTTATCTGTCTCTGCCCTCCCTAGTCTTGTTTTGTGTTCACCGCTTAGGCTTCTAGAATGATCTCGGGTGCCATTCCCAGTTTCTGTCACAGACGTGGTGTTGAATGGGAGGCTGTGTACTGGGCGCCAAACTGGCAAAGGGCAGCATCATTACTGTCAGTCCAGCTGCTTAATTCTCTCAGTCAGTCAAATTATTTACTGTGCTGCATTGTTACAAAGTTTTGCATAGGCATTTTTTTTTTTGATGCAGAAGAAAAACTAAACAAATAGTCTCAGAAAACTGAAGCCTACTGATATCTGACTGCGCGAAAATGTGATTTTAGTTTGAAGATTTGTGTGAAAGCACAACTGGCTACTGAGAATGTCTAAACAAAGCAATTTCGCACAGAATGTGAACAGTTACCTCTTCCTGTCCCCACCACCACGGAATGGTTGAGTCCATTTTCTGTAATTAAAAACTCAAGTTTACACCATTTTCTGGACAGTGCATTGCGCTACGGTGGCTTTGATGAGCCAAAATTTTCATGACAAGCAAGGAGTTAATGACTGCTTGTAAAATAACCCGTTACTGTGTTGTCCTGAAGGTGGCTTCGGACAGGTGCAGTAGTGAACACGCTCATTATTGTCCTGCTTTAACATCACAGATGGTTGCGATGCGGTGGTGGACTGTTACATAACACCAAGAAGTCATACTTATCCCTGTCAAGCTGAAGATTATCATTCCACAGCAGGGATCACAAATCCAGGTCACATAATCCTTTATCTGGTACCGGGTCACAGGTGGCCAGGAGGTTACCCCCAGTAGTGCGGGGCACGAGGGATAGCACTCCCATCATAGTGCACGTGCTACACCCACTGTGGTCGGTTTGCAGGAGGAAACCAGACCAGCAGAAAGTCAGCGGCGCAATCGCCGGGAGAACACACAGACAGGAGGGAGTCGAACCCACAACCTGCAGGTGTGAAGCCAGAGTGCTACCCGCATTGGTACTTTATCTAGGCATCGTATTTCTGGAAGGTGCACTAAGAGTAAACACTCTGCATATTCGAACACAGTGTTAAGCTTTTTTGAGTTGCGTGTGTTGTTCAGTCTGCTTTTTGAAAGTTTGAAAAGCATGAGAGTGACAGAATCAGGGGGTGAAACCATTAGTGCATCATTACTGATGCACAGGCTTGGCAGCTGCAAAAAAGTTTTTTATTTCTGTCCGACTTTCCCATCCGCTTTCGCCTTGTTTTTAGTGCATTACTTGTATGTGTCACTGTCTGTGGGATCCATTTGTTGTGTAAACTAACCCCCCCCCCACCCCACACACACACACACACATTCCAAAATGACGAGTGCCATGACGATTCCTGTTGTTCCTTCTCGTCCCTTTGACCCATATGTGTCACAAGAAGGCGACTTCACGTGAAAGCCATCTTAATCCGTCACACGAGAGCCGGAGAGGTGCCGAGTCCATGTTGTGTTAAAGAAAACACTAACCTAACTTTGGGTTAGGGTTAGGGTTAGGGTTAGGGTTAGGCTTAGGGTGAGAGCAGTTACACTGAATACTCACACGTCCGACAGCATTTCTCTGCCTCCATCCATTTCACGCCCGATTCCTCAGTCTCCAGTTGGTTTGTTCCCCTGACATTCCAAACTAGCCACACATTGTGTCCCTCTCATGTCACAATTGGTGGCATTGCTTATGAGGTGGCGCCTCTCCGGAAGCTGTGTTGTCAGAACCCGGCACACGAACGCCCCGCAGTGCCACCCACTGCTCACGGTGGCCTAACCCCTATGACGGAGCCGTTGGGCGTATTCGTTTAACAAGCTGCCATTCCAGAGATGCCAGTCCACATAACCATCATTGTCCAGTGGCTGTGCCTGTGAAAGTGAGGCCTGGTGCCCACCACTGAAGGGGGCACTCAGTTTGGGGGAGTGGGGGGGGGGGCTGGTAAACCTAGGAATGTTCCAGAACACAGTTAGTCACTTATCTGCCATCTTTCTGTTATCTGATCTTCTTTTTGCTGTTTTTGAACTCAGTTGAAGTTTCCCCAAGTCTTTCTGGAACTGTCGATGCACGTGTTTGTTTTAATGCTGATAAAAGGGATCTTGAATTTCATGTTTGTTTTGATTAACTAGAACACATATACCAAACTACCACAAGAGAAAACCACGTCAGACTATAAACCCCACAGCCCACCCCAGACCCTCGAGTCCCTACAGAGATGTACATACGATGCCCCATGGCTAAAAATTAAGCTTGCCGACTCGCCTGAGGCAAGAAATTTAGACAAAAGGCGAGTACAAAAACATGAACACTAGCCTGGTGGCCAGTAAAAAAAAATCATGTCGAACTACATTTCCACAGAACAAGTCCAGCTGGCTAACAACAAAAATGTTTGAGTTCCTTCCCTGGATGCCTCACCTTTCACTCTTACTTGCTGTGTACTTACTCACTATGTGCATTTTTGCCATGAGTGGCAGGACTTTGTGCACAGATTTCTCACCTGAAGTTTGTTTCAAGTGTCCATGGTAAGATGTGGGTCTTGAAGTTCATTGAAGAAACAAGTGATAATATACATCAAAAAGCAGGACTGTCTTCCTAGCAAAGCTCCAGGTTCCCTGTGACCTGCTGCATGAGTGGTTTGAAGGTGGATGGATGTTTGGGATGACCCAGTTTCTGTGTCACTGGGAATCGCGCACTGAGTAAATGCCCCACCTCCCATTTTGTTCTGCCAGATGATCGAGTCACTGGGCATCATGATCTACAAGGCCCTGGACTACGGGCTCAAGGAGAACGAGGAGCGGGAGTTGAGTCCCCCACTGGAGAACATCATCGACCTCATGACCAACGTGGCGGAGACAGAGGGCGACGGCTGCCCCGATGAGGGCTACGAGGCCACGGAGGAAGAGGACGAGGAAGTCCAGGCCGAGGTCCTTAGTGTCCGCGGCTACAGAGACATCCTCAAGGTAGGTTCTGGAAAGTTTTTACCTTGTGCTTCTGCTTGGAGCGTTACAGGACTTATGATAATTCCAGAGTTTAACCCATAAATGGTTGATGGGTCTTTACCCATCTGAAACTATGTCCTGTATTTCCATATTTGTGTGGATGTATGTATGGGAATGTTTGGGTGTATAATGTTGTTTAAACCACACAAATCACCCTGAGGTTGTATGGATTTGAAACATCCAGCACCGATTGGCCCTTATGTGATATCCAACTGTTGGTGGTAGCCTTTGCTGATACATAAGAACATAAGAACATAAGAAATTTACAAACGAGAGGAGGCCATTCGGCCCATCAAGCTACTCGGAAATGCTATGAAATGATCCTTTATTTACATTTACACACGTAGGAGTACAGGTACATTGGAATGCTTCTCTTCGCCTCCCCCATCTTGCTCTCCATGAGACACACAGAAACATCGCACTTAATGCTGTTCCTGTGAGATGAAATTTGGCGATTTTGTGTGATGTGCAAGAAGCAGCGCAGAATTCCCTCATGGAGAACTGAGCTACGGCCAGCTGTAGTCTCGCTCAGACATGCCCAAGTTTCAGCCGACTCTGGAAGTGAATCATCTTCATTATGAAAGATCTGAGTTCCGTGTCGTCATCATTTTGATTCTTCTGGGGCATTATGCAAGACTGTTTTTGGAAATACTTCTACCTATTGTCTTTCTGATTCGTTGAAAATATGCTATTATTCTGTGTTTCATCTGCACTCTGCATTCAGCTTTTCCCCATCACTCATTCTGATTTTTATTAATCAAAGTACAAAGGAGAAAATGTTTCCCCATCAAACAACCTTCAGGGGCCTCTGATTCTACATGCAGAGAAACCCGACCTGATCAACTCTCTTTTAAGTCAATTCAAGTCAAGTCAAGTCAAATATTATCGCCATTTCCAAATATGCAGGCATACAGTGAGACAAAATAGCGTTTATCCAAAACTTTAAAAATGGCTTTACACGGAACATGAAAAGTTCTGTGCAAAAGACAATAATGAATAAATAAGTGAACATCCTGTATATAGTGCACCTTTTGACTGAGCAGAAGGTTTGATTGTACATTTGATAATGTACATGTAGCTTACAGTGAAAGAACTGTCGCTATACACAGTGAAGTACAGTGTAAGGAAGATCTTCCATTGTTGTGCGCAACTGATGCATGAAGAGACCAGCGCTCATGGGTAATAAGCAGGTTTTAATTTACGAAGTTTGGTGGAATTTTGGTATTTGAGTCGCTGAGCATGCTGGGAAAATTGCCCGCAGACCTGTGGCCCGGGGCTTGTGGCCTGGGGGGTTGGAGTGTCTGCTTCTGGGGAGCCCGGAGATACCTTTGTTAGGGATTTTGTGGTCTGGCGTTTCTCCAGGCCCTTTGTGCCAGCTGACAAGTGCCATGTTCATTTTAGTGGCATTTGTGTGAGTCCCTGAGTAGCCCGGCTAAGGACAGCCGCTCGGGCCGCAGGCGGGTGTCTGTTACTTTCCGACCTCACCAGCCCCCCCTGCCCTGTCAGCCTCATCCTCTGTCCCCTTTCTGCTGCCGCTCGCTCTCTCTGTAACAGAAGTGCTAGTGCAACACATTTTTCATAATCCTGGAGTATAGTCCTGGTCAGATTTCCTAACCTAGCCTGAGAATGGAATGTACCCAAGAGATGGTTAGCAGGAAAAAAACTACAATGACGATGCAGCAAGTGGTGCCTTTTGTTCGACGCCGAATCGAGAAATTCCTCTAAGCGCAAGTCAGCCTAGACGGCATGAGAAGATGTTATTTGACCTGTTTTTTTTTTGTAAATGGGAATCATAGTATGAGTTTACACTATTGCTGCCAAATTTTGCATCTCTCAGGACTGTGCCAGCCAGATCGATAATCACATCCTTGCTCTTTTTCTCCACCTCTCACCCTCGTCCTCATGGGCAGCTCTGCACTTCCCATCTCCCCAGTCCCTTAGATGCCCCCGACCACTACCAGGCCGTCTGCCGTGCCCTCTACGCCGAGACCAGGGAGCTCCGCACCTTCCTGGAGAAGATAAAGAATGCCAAAGAGGTGAGACCTCCTAGTCTATGTAGACACCATAAATGCTAGTCTGTGCGACCTCTCTAAGACGCAACGAGAGCCAGCAGGATGACCTAGATCTGTCTGTGTGTCCGTCTCCCAACTGCTTCTCCTTTACGATACGCTGGGAGCTTGGAGCCCAATGCGTTGCTGGGCTCCCACACTCACATGCTATGCTACCCACACTAATGGTCCACTGGGAGAAATGGAAGCGTGCCTCCATAAGAGATACTGTCAGAAATTAACAAGAGGTCTGATCTGCAGCGACACAACGTGGGAAGTATTGGGTGTCACGCGTCACACACCGGCTCTTCAGCGTTGTTTACCGAAGGCAGCATAGACCAGGAGCTCAGTGATGTATAACAAAGGATCATCTCTGGGATTTTACAAGCTCGCTGCCAGAGAGGTGAACGTGAGAAAACGGTTCAGTAGAATCAGCACAGTAAGCGGATGGTTAAGCAGTTACATTCAGTAATAAAAGGATTCTTTTTTTTTCTGGGTCTGCAGCAGGAAGCACTGCCTGCGTCACGCTGTTTCAGAAAGACACGCTGCAGAGAGGATTTTGCCAGCAGGTGGGAGGGAGGGAGAGAGAGGGGGAGGGAGAGAGGGACGGGATGTAATGTCACGGCTGGGGAACCGCACACTGCGCTCAATGTTACTGATCAATAAAAAGGAACTGCATCTTTATTCACCTTATTACAGTGCTGTAGAGTTTGTTTTCAGGTCTTCCCGTCCACCACCGTTCATGCGAGTGGGGTGAATGGCTGAGTCAGACTCATGTGGAGGTTTTCCAGGTTACAGTATAGATCAGCCCTCAGTGTCCCAGAAGGGGACACCTCTCCTCTCCATACTTTCCATCTGGTGATGCTGTAGTTGTCACTGAGAGTTTTATTATGGTGGAGGCATTATAATTAATGTGGGAGGTGGTACAGTTCTGGCTAGTGAATGCAGAGAAGGTCAGGAGGTTTAGTTCGGTGTATTTGGAATTCTGGGTTAAAAGTATCCAAGTCAGGCCAGTCTGAAAGCAGAGAGGGACGATGGCTAAGGATGTCGACACCTGACTGTACTCTTCGATAGTGGGAGTAACATGTCAAGCTAAGGATGTGGACACCTGACTGTACTCTTTGACACTGGGAGTAACATGACAAGCTAAGGATGTGGACACCTGACTGTACTCGTTTAACACTGGGAGTAACATGACAAACTAAGGATGTGGACACCTGAATGTACTCTTTGACAGTGGGAGTAACATGACAAGCTAAGGATGTGGACACCTGACTACTCGTTTAACACTGGGAGTAATATGACAAGCTAAGGATGTGGACACCTGACTGTACTCTTTGACAGTGGGAGTAATAAGATAAGCTAAGGATATCGACACCAACAGAGATGTGAACCAGCACCTAAGCTGTTTCAAAACCTTGTGCTTTTTTATGCAACCTCGGCCTGAAAAATAACAGATTAACTCTTTATTTATTCTTGTCCTAGAGTTGCTTAATGCAGCATGACGGAAGAAAGCAAATAATGTCATGTGCTGGAAAAAAAGATTAGGGAAGGGGGCCTGTTTCTGAGACTGGGTGCAGAAATGTATGTGTTTAATAATAGATACAGTAACATGCTGTCACATGCTGTCAGAGTTGATGGTCGTCATTCACGGCTGCTTATAGTAAGTTGACTTATGTGCTCCATCACACTGCAGTCACAGTGTTCACGCCGTAATGAAGAATTTGTGCTTAGCCGGGCATTTAGGGTCTTTAGTGACCCCACTTAATGTCGGGCTCTGAGTTGCCTGTGAGTTATCAGTGAGAAGCCTGGTGACTTCCTGCTTAGCTTTCTGTGCCGTTGCTCTAGTATGCATTTCAGTGGTTATGGATCTGTGTTTATGGCCAGCAGTAGCCCTATGGTTGTACTCTCTACCAAGGTATCAAAATTACTATGTCTGTGTTTACTAAAAGGTCAGTTTTAAAAAGCTGAATGTTGTGTCTGGTCAGTCATACAGGATTTGAGTGGCCTGGAGTTTCTCTTCTTTAGCTGGGTTTTAGAATTCTGGCCCTTGAACGGATTCGGGGATTCCTAGCAGTATTAGTCTGTGACTGCTTAGTATTGTTGCTAGTGATTTTGGTGTCATCTCCGCCTATCTGTCTTTCAACAGCAGCCTACATCTTTGTCACACAGGGAGTGTAATATTACAGGGGAATCAAAGTACTCAATTTACTGTATGACAGACGAGGCTTGCCGCCCAAGAGTCCATTTTGTGTTGCCCATTCACATTGGTGTTGCCCATTTGTTTGGGTTACAGTAAAGTACAGCATGTACGTTTTGAAACAGTTCTTCTCTTTTGTTCCTATGAAGCAGTGGACATATAATACAATAGCTGCCAGTCGATATTCGGGCAAACTAGTCCGCCATTCCGCATGGCGGTTCCTCGCTGTTGCCTGGCCAACAGAATTTTAGGAATTTGAGTCCGGAGCCCGTGGTACGGCTCGCTGTGGATGGATGGGGGTTTCTTTGGGGAAAAAAAAGACACTTTTCTCAGATCTGCTCTAGTAATCTGTAGGCAGCAGGGTGGAATTTGTTAGTGGTTTGTGCTGTCAGTCTCACAGGTACGTCAACATGTGTCACCATGCCGGTGAGTACGCACACACCCGTGCAAACACACACCCATGTGCACACACACCACAGTTTGCTCTTTCCAGTACCCGTAATGCCATGCTGTCATCATACTTCCTAAATGTAAACTGTTATCCTCCTTTTAATGCTCCCCTTAAAGGGAATAACCCTTAACTGTTTCTCTACCTGTCAGTGTACATAATGAGTATCCCATGAATGTGAACTCACCCATACAAAATGTTTCACTTGTGACTCTCCTGGGGAATGAGGGTCAAATATAGAAATCCCACTCCGGCTGGGGTTCAGTCCATGGACTTTGATCCTTGCACTATAGATCAAACGCTGTCCGAAGACTGTATGCAAGTCAGTAGTATCTTCATATGACTCTGTGCTCTTATCTTCCGCAGTTCTGCTCCAGAGTCAATATTCCAAAGCCCTTAATCATTTAGTGTTGATGTCACATGGAGTGTTTCAACGCTGTTAATTTTGCCATCACTTTAACTATCTTTCTTTAGACATTTAGTCTTTTCTTTTGAGAAACCTTGTCCCCCTTACACTGTGGTATAGCTCACCATCTGTATGATACCATCCCGGGTGGCAATGTAGCAAAGTCAGTTACAGTATCACAATGACCACTGTGATACCACTGTTTACCCTAGAGGAGCTTCGGAATTAGTCAGCGTCATCTGCAGAGCAAATAAGTAAAGGCAGGCTGGGCTCAAGTGCGGATCTGCAGGTCAGGACTCTGCGTCCATGATCAGAAGGTCGCTGGTTCAGATGCAATAGCAGGCAGAGTGATGTCACTGTTGGGCTCTTGAATAAGGCCCTTAGCCCCAGTTTCTCCAGAGATGCTCTCTGATCGTGACCGAATGCTAAATAAATCGATGTGATGGTAGTCAGTGCACCTTGTAAAGCCCGTCTTCAAAGAGCATCACTGATTGCTTTTAGGCTGGAGTCTGGACAAAATGACATGGATCCTTCCAGGGATAAATGATTGCTCCTTAATCAAAATGCCTCATTTAGGGGGCTGAACTGAGTAACCAATACACCCCCCCCCCAAAAAAAAACCCTTAGGGAGCATCCAATAACAGGATAATGGGCAGTTCCCCCATAAGTTGGCTAGACTTGTTTTGCTCTCTGAGCAGTGACATCACCCCCCACGGGGGCCAGAAATTTGAATTATTACCTCAGCCGGCCACTGGTTTTATTTCTCACTGGGGCATGGCACAGGCTACGATTCTGACCTCAGATCGAACATGATCCCACCATTATATCAAGTCTGTTCTGTCCTCTGATTTGGTTACCATGGATACTTCTCCTTCTAGATTACCACCACCATGAGAAAATTGCTGAAGGTTCAGGGACAGACTTTAAAAAAATAAGTGTTACATTTAGATATAAGTTTAGGTGTTAGAACGGAACATGTGTACGGCGTACAGACTGCGATGTGAGTCAGGGTGTCGTGGAGGCGATGCTGGAGAATTTGGCTGATGTCCAGCTGCCGTTAAAGGTTTCTTTAACTGCCCATTGATCAGCTGTCAACCTATCAATTAAAAAAAAACTGCCTGACGATGTACCAGCATCCCGATATTGGCTTGGCTGCGAAGTCGAGGCCGCAAGCGTTTGCGGAATTACTGTCCCTGAAAATGAGCCTCCTCTCTGCAGAACCTGAGGAAGATGGAGGGGGAGCAGGAGGAGGAACCGCGGGACCTCAACGACCTGCAGAACGCCGACTGGGTAGGAGGCCCGGCCCTGCACCCCCCATACCCCCCAGTATGGGAAGATCAGACATCTCACAGATGTGCTGCAGTGTCATTCCAGTTGAATTCAGACTCTACGTTGATACTTTCTAAGTCAGCTGACACTCAATGCAGGACCTAGTCCTTTGCAGATGAAATAGCTTTACAAATGCATTGATCATACGGTGCAGAGTTAACGGCGGTGCGCGGCGGGAATGTGACATTGAGGTTGCCATTATCCATCAGGCTCGGTTCTGGGTCCAGGTGATGAGGGACCTACGCACCGGTGTAAAGCTGAAGAAGGTCCAGGAGCGTCAGTACAACCCGCTGCCCATCGAGTTCCAGCTGACGCCCTACGAGATGCTGATGGACGACATCCGCTCCAAGCGCTACAAGCTGCGCAAGGTCATGGTGAGTGTGGGCTTTTTCGGTTGCGGTGGGCAGAGGTCAGAGGTCAAAGGTCAATGGGTGTGACAGGCAATGATTGCTCATTCACATCTTTAGGTCATTAAGGTAACCTGATGCTGTGTAGCTCCTCATAAGAGGATAAAATATTGTAGATTGTGAAAGATTGTAGACGGCCAGCTGCTGACTGGAAGAACATAACATAAGAACATAAGAAATTTACAAACGCCTTCTGGCCCAACAAGCTCATTTGGGGAGAACTTAACTAATAGCTCACCCTATTGTTCCATTAATATACAATGACGTCTGTATGTGAAGCACTGCCACATAGCTGTAATAAACACTAAACTTTGACTAAATCTCTAACTGAAGTAAGGCATCAAGAAGGATGCGCTCAGCAATAACGATAAGAAGCATAACGTGTGACTCTGAGGAGCATCAAGTCTCTGTCAATGTCATGTCAATCACATGCTAGACACTTGTTCTATGGAAGGTTTTGAGGACACCTTGCACTTGTAGGTGCCCTAAGGAACAATGTAATGACATATCTTCTTTGATATTCCAGTGAATAGCTCTACTTTAATATTTCAATGAAGAGCTGTTCTTTGATATTCCAGTGAATAGCTTGTCTCTCGCTTTTTTTAAGGTACAACTTTCTTTATGCTTGTCATTGTAAAATGGTTGCATTGACATTTTTGCAGACTGTTTTGATGTAATAGTAAATATAGGAGCTAATGCCTTTGAAGCTTGTCTTTATAGTCCATCGACTCCGAATTGCACAAGACTCACTGCAACAACCATGCAACCTCTGCCTTGCTTATGAGACGAAGGGACGATCATTTTCTTTTTGTTATTTTTCCCACAATCGCTTGTGGGATTCTTGTTATTGCCGTGTTGCTTCAGATGAGGGGCGGCGACGTCTAATTGCTTCTAATTGCCAGATGTAAAGGTGTGATTGTTTTTACTAGTTGACCTCTTTGTGGCATTCTGTAGCTGAGGCGTTGAAGAGGGAGTTCACGCGGCGTTCCCACCAAGATACCAACACTGACTGCAGTATTTCGGCTCACGTGCCTCTGCTTTTATGTGCATTGCCATGGCGATACCGTAGCTGGAATGTGAGAGATGTGCTTGCGGCTGGACGTCCCGCTCTGGGACTTCTGCTCGTGTCACGCATGACGGCACTTTCACATGAACAGTGAAGCGTATGTCTCCATAATTTAAATTCTCAGAGATGTTTTTAATAGGTCGCTTTAAAGCACGCAATGTTTTGTGATGGTGTGTATGGTGAATGGAGATGAATATGAAAACGCCACAAGAATGGGTGATGTCTTCCTCCCCCCCTGCGTGTTCCTCTGCGTCGCGTGTTCGGTCACTGTGTTCGGTCACTGTGTTCGGTCACTGTGTTCGGTCACTGTGTTCGGTCACTGTGTTCGGTCACTGTGTACGGTCACTGTGTACTCTCTGCTCCTGCTGTTATCGGTGATCTCTGTTAACATAGCTGGGCGTGGCTTGTTTTCCTGTGGCTGTCGAGCCTCATCTGATAGCAGTGAGACCACGCCCCTTGCTCCATGTATCTCCGTGCCCTCTTGTCCACATACTCAAACCCATACCCCTCCCCCAGGTCAATGGGGATATCCCTCCCAGGCTGAGGAAGAGTGCCCATGAGGTCATCCTGGAGTTCATCAGGTCCAGGCCGCCCCTGAACCCAGTGAGTGCTCCCAAGGCCCGCCCACGTGCCACTCCGCCACGTCATTGTCATTGGCCGCAGTCAGCCTGTCAATCACAACTCAGCACCAGCCCTGCTTCACTAACTAAAGTTGATTTACAGCATTACAAGATCAGGATGACAAGTAACAATAAACTGGTGGCTCTGTTTAATTTGCATGAATGATCACAGAATTGATTAGCTGCACTAAGAAATGGGATGTATAAGATTGTCGGATAATAATTATTCATATTTATAAGGTGATAGAGTTTAGGATTTACGCAGTCAATACAACACAATGGGGCTGTTTGCACAGTCAGTAGTAACACAAGAGGATGATCAATAAGTCACATGTCACTGAGCAAAAGCCTCTTATTGATGCCACTCTCAAGCTTAAGGGGGTTTTGTGGGCGGAGTTTAGAGACTAGGTTCTGTTGTGTCTCTCGGGGTAGTCCGTCATCTAGGTCCTGTGTGCAGGTCGCAGCCCGGAAGCTGAAGCCCCACCCAGAGAGGCCGCCAACCCTTCACGAGCGAATCCTGGAGGAGATCAAGTCTGAGAGGAAGCTGCGGCCCGTGTCTCCGGAGCAGATCCGCAGGAGCCGGCTGGGTGAGTCCTGCTACCTGAGACTGACCACACCCACACACTCGTGCCCCATCCTCCGAACCTACTGTTAATATCGTTATTATCGGTGTTGCACTTCCCAAGAAATCCAGGTCCTTAACGACCACGGCAGCCATAAACGGACACTGCCATCTCAAACATGTAGATAACGAGTAAAGCATGAGTAAAGCCATCTCTCCATTTAATGGCCCAAAAGCTGTTTCAATACTTCCAAGATCCCTGGGTGCATCGCTGTGGCATTTATATGCTCAGCCTTGGCATTGTTGCCAAGGTTGCGGTGGATTGTGGGTAAATACTCAGGCGGTCCCTGGCAAACAGCTGGGATCCCCCACCGTGTTCTATCACCTGCTGAATGTGGCTTTATCTCTGTGTGCTGCCACAAAACCAACTTGTTGTTACATTCCTAATATGTATCTGGACTACATCCAGATATATGGCTAGTCCTGCTTTTGTCTCTTTTTTTACGGCCTGTATTTTGATTTCCATCACAGCTGATAAATTCTTCATTTTTGTTTGAAGGGCCACGCTGAGTAGCTTGGCAAAAGTTTTACCAGCCGTGGATGTTTGCTGGAAGTCAGGTGCACAGTCAATGCCGCCTGTTCAAAAGGGAACTCAGAGGTTCGGGGTTTCTTGGTGAACGTCTTGAGTCCTTCTGCGGCTCGTGTGTGAGCGGGCCTCATATAGAAGCTGGAAGCATTTTAATAAAGGCCGCAGCCTAGATGTAAAAGGAATAACAGCCCATTCAATCATCAATGCACATAAAAGCACTATGCAGAATGTGGTTGTAATCTGAGTGGATAAAATGGACGTTATCTAATTTCTTAAATGAAAAAAGTGTTTAGTTATATACTAAACTGCTTCTCCCCTTGTGATTGGCTGTTAAGTTCATACATGCTTCATATTTCTGTGCTTTCACTTATGGTAACTGGGAGATTATGTCTAGATCTATGAAAGTTGTATCTAAAGTTAATTAAGAGAAGCTTAGGATTCCTAATCAGGAGACAATACATTTCAGCTTTTGGCAAATTAAATAACTGGAAAGTTCCAGGTTGAATAAATATCAGAGTTGCGTCACGCTGCTGTGTTTTTGTTTTTCGGTCATTTTCTCCTGCCTTTCTCTTCTTCTTTTTAACATCCCACTTGTTTTCCTTGCAGTATTTCGGCCTCTTAGCATGTCTTACAGTTTTGACTTGTCAGGTAATGATCTCCCTGCCTGACCTCGCTGTGGGCTGCTCCTTGTGCTCGTGTCCGACCCGTGACCCTCCCCCCCCCATCTCACGCTCACATTTCGTGCCTGTATGTTCACCAATTCCCATGCTGTGAGGTCAGGGGTCATGCCGGGTGCGGTGCTGGGGGGGGGGGGGTGAGGTAAACACAGTCGTCCAGGGGTTACTGCATGCCCCCTAGTGTGGAACTGTCACATTGGCTCCCATGGATCAAACACACACACACACACACACACACAATGTTCAGAGGACCAAATTATTGAGGCATCAGGGGTGTCCATCAAGTCTGACTTTGGTGCCTGTTTCTGCTCCAGACTTCTTGTGCTGAAGCCAGCCCTTCTCTGATTGGTCCTTGACCAGTACACATCAGTTACACATTCCTTAAATCTTAGTAGATGCCAGTACATTATAATGTGCCTCTTTTTGAATTGTGAGCTTTTTCCAGTTATTCAGCTGGTCGGAAAACCTGCTCCCAGTTCTACTCCTTTTACCCAGTTGTACAACTGGATACTTACTGCTGTGCTTTTGAGTTATAACATCAGGTCCCCTTCTGGGTTATAAGGCAACAAACCATTGAGTCATTATTTAGAGTCAGTCTTAAATCTGCCTAAAGTCTGATGCTGATGCTGCTGGAACATTCTTAAGGATGCTTTCCCCGTCACCCTGGGCAGCGACATTCTTGTTGGGTCTAAATTTGGCTGAGGTGCATTTGGCTTTAATCCGCCGTTGCTGTACAACAGCAGCATGTTATTAACATCAAAGGCCTTAACTAATTCAGGCAGGTTGGCTAAGATGTCACCGAAATGTCAGCAAGCATTTCATTTCATGAACGTCAAGTACTCTTACAGAGGAAAGCCCCGATTATATGAATTCAAGGATTTTATAGCACTGTGATTCCTTTCATGGTTATTCAAGGCTAAATCGGATAAAAGTCTGAGGACAGGTGCCACCTTCTCTGATGCTGGTCGTGTAGCACTGATCAGATCCAGTGAGCAGCAGCCCTTAGCCAGACACACTGGGGTCTTTCAGTCCAGGGAGCGTCTTTCCCAGGGGAAACCTGAGGAGTAAATGGGTCGAAACTGAAACGTAAACCCGTCCGCTTTCCACGCGGACACAAAGCTGGCCTGTGAAAACGGGGCCACTCTGCACGGCCCATATGTCAAGCTAGGGGCGTGGCGTTAAAGTCACCCAGCGGCTCAGAGGGGGCTGAGGAGTGATTCGTATGGCCCTGACCAATCAGAGGCCTCTGAACTTAAGCCCTGATGTTCTGGCTGTGAGCGAATCTGGGAAAAGAACCGAGATCTGACATGGAAAATGACACGCACACCTCCTGCTCACATTCTACTAGTGGCTAAAAGCATTTTAAGCAGCGAGGCCACGGTCCTGGGGAAGCGAGGTAACAGAACCCGATTTGGGCCCGAGTTCCAAAAGCACCGTGGTGACCTTAGGGGTCAGGCTGCAGTTTAACTCACAGGTGTGACCCCGTCCACCTACCTGCACCGGTGTCTGAGGGCGGGTCCCAAGATACCGCGAGATCTCGGGTGCCACCGCGTGTGTGTGTTTGTGTGTGTGAGAGCCGACAGCTAACCATGCCCCGCCCTCTCTTCATGCGTTGCTTGGCTTTCACATGTCGTTCCTTAATTCACTGGTGTTCATTCCTCACTCACTCGACTGACAAGGTGGCCTGTTCTAACCGGGGGTGGGTTTAGTGTAACGTTTAACGCAGCTTGTTTCCTCTTTTGGCCAATGTGACTGTGTGTGATCTGTGTTTAACCCTTTTAACCTCTGGCGTAAACGCGATGTGTGCGGCTCTGTGGTGTGTGCTGGGCTTGCTTACGTGTGTGGCGTGTCAGTGGCGTGTCCGCAGTGACCTTCCTCCCCGCCGATCCCCGACCCAGGCCTCTTTTCGTCTCTGCCTCTGCGGAAACGTTCTTTCCCGCTACACTGTTTACGCGAGGACTTACAGGAAGTCCCGCCTTGCTGGCTCAGGTCGCCCAATCCCACGCCGCCGTGCCCGGGCACTGTGCTGGAACCTGCTCCCTGCCTCACAGATGCCAGGCCAGCCCGGCTGCTGGGGCCTCAGACCGGCAGAACTCCAGCTACGAAAACGCCCCCCCTCGCCGCCCCGTCAAAGTGACCATTTACAAAGGGTGGCGTTTGCACGCTCGTTAGCGCACTCGTTAGCATGCTAGCCGCGCGTCCTCCCCTTACGGGCAGCGCCTGGCGCGGCGTCAATGCTCCGCCGGACGCCCTCAGGCCCCCGCCGCCCGGCGTGAACCCCCCTCACATTCTGTACCTCTTTCATTTAGTCCCGGCCCCCCTCCTCTACTTTCCCATCTCACTTAATAAAGCATGAGGCAGTGCTGGTAATGATAGTGTGACACTGGAGAACAGGCCCCTGTCCCAGTCACTGCGGTCCGCCGGACCAACCCCAGCTCCAAGTTCTGGAATATTCCATACTCTGACCTGCACATAAACTTCAATCCCTTTGATTTATTCATACTCAGTTACTAATTCACTTACTCAGTTAAGGTGCAGTAGAGTGAAAGGCAAGTGACACATGAGACCTGTTAATGCTGCAGAGTGTCACAGAATAAATAAACATGGACTGCACCACTTGGGTGTGAAGTGACTGAACACAGTTCTCCGTAAGACGGTTGTCTCTGGCATTACTTCTCATGCACTGCAGACTGCCTTGAAAAGGGGGTGCAGAGTATCTAGACTGCAGGAAAAGACCAGCCACTCCTGCGGTCCGATATAAGAGCTGCATTCTGTATTTTAAGTCACTTTATATGTGAAATCTATGAAATGCAGACCAGACTAGATGAATGAACCTCTGATTGCCCCCCCCCCCACACACACACACTCAGCATGATATCTCTGTGTGCGGTTCGTTTACTCTCACCACATTTTGCGCAGACATGTCGAACGGGGCCTCCAGGAAGAAGACTCTTAGTGCCCTCGGACTGACCAATGGGACGGCGGCTCAGGGCCAGCAGAACGGGGTGACTGAGGGGCAGCTGCTGTCCCAGCGGAAGAGGCTCCTGAAGGCCCCGACGCTGGCGGAACTGGAGAGCTCCGAGTCGGAGGTGTGTAGACCCAGACGTGCAGGATTAGGGGGGTGGGGGGTGGGGGGTCCGACTGGTTTTAGTATATGGGTCATTCCCTGCCTTGTGCCTATAGCTTCCAGGATAGACTCTGAACCCCCGTGACCCTGAATAGGACAAACGGTTACAGACAATGATGGAAGATCAAATATAGTTCTCATGGCTACTTGCTTTTGACTTTGATTGATTAGTTGGCTGGTTAACAAGATTCTAGGATCCAACAGCAATCCCTGTGTGCATTTGCTGGTCATACACCCACGCTGTGATCTGCCATGCTTGCTTACTGAGTGCTTGTAGTATTTAACTAGGTTAAAGGGGTTCAATGGCAATGCCCTCTGTGTGAGTACTGGTTATTGGTATATGCTGTGGTTGTAGTTGCTGTTGAGTTTAGGCGTCTTTGTTGCTCTTGGCAGGAGGAGGTGACACGCCGGTCGGCCAGTAGTTCCAGCATCTCCACGTCCATGGTGGAGGACACCTCCCCAGAGTCTGTCCTGGGCAAGAAGAGTAAGGCTGGCTTCCTGGTGTCGGCCCCCACCGCAGCGGCGCGTGCGGTCAGACCCCCCCTTCGACCACGGGACTCATTCTAAGGTCTTTCCTCCCCAGCTCCGCCCCTGTTCCTGCCCATCTCCTCCACACCCCAACCGGAGCGACGTCAGACCACCCAGAGGAGACACTCCATCGAGAAGGAGACCCCAACAAACGTGCGGCAATTCATGCCCCCGACGCGGCAGAGCTCCAAGTCTCTGGTGAGTCATGAGGGTCTGACTGTGTGGGTAAAGCTCTGGTATGAGTGGGGATGGGTATGGCGTACAGTTTCTGAGCGGGGGTGTGACCCTGAAGGCAGTTTGATGGGGTGGTGGATGGAGCTGAACTCTTTCATATCCAAACTGAAATAGCAGGCTGTCCCCCCCCCAGTTGACTCTTAGTCCAAGGATGCCCTGAGGTCACTGGCCCTCATGTTCCTGCCGGTGAAAGAGCAACCACCAGGTTTGCAGAGTCACTGGGGGGGGCAGGTTTTGCGTCGACAGGGAGGGGGCACACGTAGCACTGCATGGATCCCAGCTGAGGGTCCCTGGTTACAGTCCAAAAACTCGCTGTTGAGGAACTTCTAGACCTTCTCTGTTTATGCAGCATAATAGAGCCAGAGGGAGGTCAGTTAGTTCGTCCCCCCCCCCCTTCCCATTTCTGCCCCCCCAAACGCCTCCCCCATCTGTATGTTTGTCACTCAGGTGGCGAGGATAGTCCGTTTGTTTCCCAGGATCCCCCCCATGTCCGCCCTGCACGCTCTGCAGAGCGCCCACCCCTCGGAGACGGCCGTGCTGGGGGTGTTCTGGGCCGTGTCCGCCCTCTGTGAGAGCGTTTGCGTCAGCAGGCCCGAATCCTCCAAGGTTTGCCTCCCCCCCCCCCCCCACGTAGACCTCAGCATCTCTTAGCGCTTTCTTGCTAGCTGGGGAAATCGACAGCCAGGCTGAGATCGTGGCCCTGGTGACCTAACCTCACCAGCGACGTGCCTCCTGATCATCACGCTTACTCCACAATAACAGCCCCCCCCCCCCCCATAGCACCGATCACTAAAAGTCGGCTTCGCTCTGCGCTGTAGAAACCATAGCTAGACCCTGGCTAACACCGACCAAGCTCCCCCATTCTCAGGATCACATCCCAGTAGAGCGCCATCTTGCTGCTCATAGATAGTAAAACATTTAACTGTAACTCTGTGCGTTGTTTTGTTTCATACTACAGCAGAGTACCACGCGTGTTCCACGGCGTTCCGATGTTCAGTGTCCTTCGTGGAGGGACGCAGTTTTTTTTATTTTTTTTTGCCAACGTTTTTATTTTCAGTCCCATTAGGTTGCCCAGGCATGGGTTAGCGTCTGTGTATTCTGTGCGTGCTTTTCCAATTACCCACGATGCACCAGGGCAACCCATCTGCTGAAACAGCAGGCCCTGTGGAAAAGGTCCAGCTCTCTTTGTATCAGCATAACTGGTGTTCTGGGCACGGTTTGGGTACTGCGTCTCACAGAGGCCGATTCGCTGGGGGGGGGCCAGGGGGGTTGAGTGCTGAGGGTTTTTCATTTGTGTACATCTCCAGAGGCGGTTTGTGTGGTGTGAACTCGGTTTGGTCTCAGCTGACTACCCATGTCCTTTGGCAGTAGGACTGATTCCTAACATCCAGAAGTTTCTGGGTCGCGAACTGTAAAACTGGAACTATGTCACACTCTATTGCCCGCAGGAATATTTCCGATACTTGTAAATTAGTTGCATGTTCCACCTTGCTCAGTGAGTAACTGAATAGTTATGTAAACTGTGGAAGAAGGACATCCTTACGTTTAGTGTGGTTGTTGGTGGCGTTAAAACAGAGGAGCTTACCTGTGTAATTTCTCCAATGATCAGGTTGACAGTGACGTCTGCACCCAGCCGGTAGGTGCTGCTTAACTCCCTTCCTTCCCGGAATACTAACAGCGTGCCGCCCCCCCAGCCCCCAGGCTACCTCAAAACCTAACCCTTTGGGTGGGGGGGGGGGGGGGGACTCAACAGCCACGTTGCCAATATGGGTTTGATCTGTGACCTGGTTAAGGTACCATTATTAACGTCGACCAAATACTGATCTGGCGCAAGAATACAGACACGATTTGATACTCAGTATTGGTAACGGTGTTGTGAGGTACACTGGGGATTGAGAGTGATGCTCATGTTGAATGTAACCTCTGTGCGTCTTCCTAATGTGCTCTGATAAATTGCTCAGCCTGCCAGTGAAGGTAAATTTCACACATGAAATAAAGTGTTTAGTCCCATCAGCGACTCCTCTGTCCGTCCCCCCCCCCCCCCCCGGGAGACAGGGCTGCACTCGCGGTCGTTCTTCACCTCCTTTAGCGCTTGGTGGAGCATCCCGCAGGGCCCGTCAGGACATCGAGGCGGGGGGTGTTACCCATACTGCCGCTGAAAAGGGCTTTGCACAGGAGCAAACCATTTTTGAAGGAGGTCTGACGAGCGTGTGGTGCTCCCTGTGGGTGTGACACAAAAAAAACACACGACGAGATGTTTGCGGGCGGCGGCCGATTTCCTGTAGGCCGAGCTCTACCCAGCATGCTCAGTAGACGTGGCTAAGACTTGGGCGGGGGGGTCGTGCTGGGCTCGTGGCGGTAACCGGAGGCCCCTCCATATTGCAGGAGGAGTTCTGCTACCCGGTGGAGTGCCTGGCCCTCACGGTGGAGGAGGTGATGCACATCCGGCAGGTGCTGGTGAAGGCCGAGCTGGAGAAGTTCCAGCAGTACCGGGACGTGTACAACGCCCTGAAGAAGGGCAAGGTAAGGCGCCAGTCCTACCCGCCACCCCCCAACGTTACCCATGTTACCACCGTGGCATGTTATGACTGTTTAGTCATACAAAACCCCAGAAACCTGTGACTAAACAGAATAAATCGTTTTCTGTAGCTGGCTGCTTTCCTGGAAGAATTTACTTTCAGGACGGCAATCTGTAAATGCTGCCGTTTCATATAAAAGTGAGACGAGGCCATTTTCTGTGCCTCACACACAGCTTTGCTTCTCCTGCCGGACAAAGAGGTTCTCCTTCTTCACCTGGTCATATACCTGCCAGTTCTGCAAAAGGTAAGACGCATTCCTGAGCCCCTGCCCGGCCTCGAGGCCCTCACCACATTCCTCGAGTGCATTTTGGACGCGTTAATCATTTCCTCAGGGCTGGTACAAGCTACGCAATTTCCCATCCCATCTGATGGGCAGTTAAGCCTCGATTAAAGTAACACTGGGATTTTACTTTGAGACCTTTTCCCGGGTTATCGGTGATCATGCATGCTATCTTTCTCTCTTTCCCCGCTGCTGCTCTCTTCATGCAGACCCGTGTGCTCACAGTGCTGTAAAAAGGTACGTTCCTTCCCTTCGTCGGCCTGGGGGCTGCTTTGTTGCGATTGGTGGGTTTGGCTGCCCTGGGTTAACTCTCCACGGGAGCCTATGGAGTGGAACCATGAGCCTTCCCTACCTCACCCCGTTAAATGAAGCCATCCTCGGGCCACAGCTGTTTTGTTGGCCGAGGATGGGGTGGGGCGGAGCTCCCGGGGGTGGCTTTGCACGCGCCAACTTGCCACGGAGGTCCTCTCTAGCCATTTGATATTGAGCATTTGCCAGTAAGAGCACCGACACTGCGGTCCCTCCTTTGTCTCAGATGAGGCTTCCGGCCAAACCCTACGCCAGCCTGCCCATCTATTCGCTGGGCCCCAGTGCCCTGCCCCACGCCACCTCCTCAGCCCAGCCCGAGACGTCCTCCTCCAGTCCCCAACGGCACAGTCTCCAGCGAACTGTCTCCAGGTACCACTCTTTCATTCCTCATCATAGGGGGCAGTCTGTGGCTCAGTAGGCTAAGCCTGTGAAGGTCGCGGGTTCAAACCCAGCCTCAGCACACCTGCGGGTCGTTGAGCAAGGCCCTTAACCCCCAGCTCCCTGGGTGCCCCAGCAGGTGGCTGCCCTTCACAGACAGCTTACTCTACACAGAGCAAATTGTAAAGACAGTTTCCCCATGGGGATCAATAAAGTATTGATTATTATTATTATGTTTACCTCCATCTTACCGGGACATGGCTATGTCTACCACAGGCTGACCAAGCCTGGAGACGGGACACGTGGGGAGGTGGCTCTACCTGAGGAGCTGACAGAGGACTGGAGCACCATGGAAGTGTGCATAGACTGCAAGAAGTTCATCTCAGACATCATCTCGTCCAGCAAGCGCAGCCTGTCGCTGGCCACTAGGCGAGCTCGCTTGAAGCGCAAGACCAAGTCCTTCTACATGTCCTCACCCAACACGTCAGAGTACCGGCCGTCCGAAAGGACCATCAAAGAAGTGTAGCCCGGTGCCTTGTCCTTACAGGCCCCCACCCCCCACATCCCAGACCTAATCCCCCCCCCGAGAATGAAACGGGACAAACTCTCAGAATCTGACTGGGTGGTGATGGTCAACCCACTGGCAGGTGGTGTCCGTCCCACTGGGTTTGGCCGACGTCTCCCATCGTTCCTGTGCGCTCACGTCACGGGCCCTGGGCGGGAATGGGGGCCCCTGGGCGGGAATGGGGCCCCAGGCCGGAACGCCGCTGAAATCGGGTGGATGGCTGGGGTTGATGTTTGGTTGGCTGCCTGTCTGCTGTTGAGTACCAGATCTTCCAGACAAAAAACAGTGACATGTGTCCTGTTGTTCTGTGGCTGCTGTGTGCGGTTCCCCCTTTCTGCCAACATCCCCCCCCTCCTGCCTGGTTGAAGTGTACAGGCTGGGGCAGGGGCAGGGCACCCAGCGTGGTGCAACCCCTCCCATCACCATAGCAAATTTGGATTTATCACGTTTGAATCCCAGAGGATTCTACAAATGGCTCGGCATCTGGCCCCTCCCTCCATACAGGATTATATACAAGCACAATTCTATGGAAAAACTTGTAAATACAAATTTACAAAATAAATTGTACAAATTTATTTGAACATTTTCAGTGCAGCTTATTTAAAAAAAATAAATAAAATCAACCCTAAATGAATTAAGGGAGAAAAGGTCAGTCAGAACAGTATCCTGAGCCAGTGAGGCAACAAGCCAAAAGTAATGACAATAATGGATGTTTTAAGGATTATTTATACCAGCTTTGGATTGTAAATGTTTTCCTACATGGTGATGTTTTTTACGGCAAAGTTTACATGTGTGTACACACCGTGGTGAGGCCAGTGCTGTCTTATGGACTCCATTTCCTCACTCTGTGTGTGGCTTTTTTTTTTTAAAAAAAAAAACATCCCTTGGTTTCTATGGGCTGGAACTACAACAGCAGACCAGGCCAGTACTATATCACGTGTTTTGAGGGAACCCCGTCCACACGTTGGAAGAAAAGCCCGTTTATAAACGGATGTTTGTTTGTATCGTCAGGGTTGCCATACAATTAATCTGTTCCAGCAATTATGTCCCGCCCCTGCATTTCCAAACGGGGTATACCTTGATCTTCGTTATGGGCATTTCAGGAATTTCAGACTAGAATGCTGGTCGTTTCTAAGTTGAGACCCCTTCCCGGACATTGTGACGAGGAGGCAGAAACAGGCCGCGTTATCCATTGTACAGCGTAATTCATATAACTAAGATATTTAAGAACAAGGTCTTTTCTGTTTGTGGAGGTTTCGTTTAACATTTGAGTTTTTCTTACTTGCCTAAAGGGGTCGCCTCTGTATTTGCTGGATATTTCTGCTTCTCCTTGCTGTAAAATACTTAATGCCACATGACAGAAATGAATATGATCCCAAACGTGCCAGCTGAGTACCATCTGGTCTCAGAGGGTCATGAGAGACAGAGATGGGTGACCATTTGTGTATAAGATGTACAGTCAACTTGTATATTACCAATCGCTACGGTCTACTGAACTGTGCTAAAAACTTTAGTTTATTTGAATAATTTGAATTAATGATTTATTATTATTACTAAGAATGTTATTGTCATTGATATGAGCATTTTTAAGTTGTTTTCCTACAACCCTAACATTCAGTCCTAGTAAACCAGTTACAGGAATCAGTTTGTTTTGCTTTTGCCTTGTGTAAAAAAACAAAAACAAAACAAAAAAAACTGCAATCCATTTTCCAGCCAGCCTGTACTCAGCCTGCCCTGTTCCCTCCCTCATTTTGGAAAGTACCGAATTTCCTAGTCGTTTGTGGAATAAAAGGGAACACCTTTCGTTTACAGGCGGCTGTGTGCTTTGCTTATTGAACGGTCACCCTTTACCGTGCACCAGTCTCCCCCCAACCATGATTCTGTTATAAATGACAAACATACATGTCCATAAATATATTTTTAATGCAAATACACATTTAAATGAGATTAACTTAATTATGTCATTTAAAAAAAAATTCCTTACACCTAATGCATTTCTATGGACCACATGTCATCTACATGCTCCTAAAGGGAGGAACACGGACGATGACAGGCATGATGAAATGTTCTCGTGCGTTTGCACACATTCACGCGACGTAACAAAAGGGAGAAACCAAACACGCACCTTGCACTATGTTTAACCTGCTCTTTAAAAGACATCCACGCCCAAAAAAGAAAACCAGTGTATCTTGTTGTGGATTTTGTGTCCCCACCGAAAATGTTTTGTTCTAAAGTTAACATCGCGGTGCAATTCTTGGACTGAACTAACAGGGTTCATAAAGAAAAGGCAGTCATTCCTCACGTCACAACAGCACAAAAAAAAAAAAACCCAAAACAAAACCATTTGCTTCCCGGTCAAAAAATGAACGGTTGTGCACCTAGTTGATGCAGTCAGAGTGCCAGTGTTGCCCTAAAGATCTGTGCCATCTCGTATACACAATACTGAAAGTGTTAGTATATTTTTTTTATATAAAATACTTGCAGCACAAACAATACCACAGATGCAGGACGGTCCCCAGGATATGAAGGACACCTGTTCCCGATGTCTGTTTTGAAGTCAAATTTGTACGCAAGTCAGTAAAACAATACAGTACACAATGATAATTAGGCAGTAATAATAAAAGTAATTCCATACTGTACTGCCAGCCAATGAATCACTGTCACAAAGTAGTGCATGCATTCGTTATAACAAACCATTGTGTTTAACCCATATTTTAACAGACTTTATGGAAGTCTGTTCATAAGTATGAGTTGTCTGCAAGTAGGATGTTCATCTGGGGACTGGCTGTACTCCTCTAGGTAAACTTTGGGGGTCAGCCCCACCAGTCCACTTTACCGGGGGGGGCATATGGAGATGGGCTGAAATCCAGACATTTTCCCAGAATGAACCCCCAGTGCTACCTGATTTAACCTGATGTCTCCAGAGAACAGAAGTCTGGGTCAGCACCACTTATCCATAAGCAGCCCTGGTCAGATGTCCATGACCCACAAGGGCCACCACAGAGTTCTCCTTCACTCCTCAGGGTCACTGGTCTCCTCTCCTTCCTCAACAGTCAGGCTGTTTTTGTCTCCGATGATGACGTACTCCAGATTGGAGCCGTGAACCTGGAGGTCTGTAGATGATGCAGCGGTCTGTGCTGCCCCCATCTGGCAACACACACATTCGTTGCCTGTGGCTACATCTGCCAATGTAACAAGGAAGGAAAAACGTGTTAAGATAAGACTTGTATGTAGGTAAGCTAATGCTGCTTGTGCACCAATACTATTCTGTTGCTTGACGTCTTGTTCTGATTGATAAATCGGACAAATCACAATTACACTGCATCTTCACAGTGAAGAACTCGTTCGGTTAGGGCAGGTCACTGGTAGTGGTTCTCAGTCAGTAAGATTACTATAGAAACTTCTCCCACACTTAAATTCAACCCCCATTTGGACCGCGGTCAGCTAGCATTGAAATCTCTGCCAAAATCTCTGGAATTTGAGGCCAACAACTTGATATATCATTGGGTCTACAGTGAAAGATACAGATTCATTAGATGAATATTCTTGGAGCCGATCGTCTTTTGGAGCCAATCCCAGGACTTACGGGACACAAAGCAGAGGACCAGGCTGAATGGAATGTCAGTCCACTATGGGGTGTACGATCACTATGAGTGTCAGCGAAGCTAGTACACCGCAGCTGCATGTTTTATGGATTGTAGGAGGAAACATGGGCGGGTCGTTCCATTTTAATTCAAGACATTACCTTTGCATAACTATTTATGACATTACATGTGGCATGTGAGAAATATGCATTTAAAAATTCCTAGATAGATAGAAGATAGCAAGAAAAATGATACTTTCAGAGAGTTTTCTTATGTGCTTTTTTAACCTGGTGAGACTTCTAAGCACGTATGTTTCCAAGCTTTCCAGTGAGCTATACCTGAGCCAGTGAGCTATACCTGAGCCAGTGAGCTATACCTGAGCCAGTGAGCTATACCTGAGCCAGTGAGCTATACCTGAGCCAGGCAACTGCAATAGTCAAAAAATTACAGCTCATAAGAAAACATGTGCTATATTTCAAAGGGATTTTTTTTTTATAATTAAAAAAAACATTTCTGTGATCTGGATGGTAAGTGGAATGAATTACGACATCAAAATTAAAAATGGTGATTCAAAAACTTTTTTGGGAATTTTGCTGAATTAACATGGAATGACCGCGGTCCAAAAAGAAAACACACATTAACTTGCAATTTCACAACCCTGGAGGTGTGAGGATTATTCCAATTTCCGCAAGACTTTCCTCAAGTCTGTCAGTTTCATATAAAACACTATTGTTGTGGCTAGATAAGCAAACAAAACAGAGCGATGTTGTCAGGTGACTAAACTGCACAGCTACAACAAGCGACGGGCAAAATCTGGCCGTTAACCCCTGTATGCATGACAGGGCAACACAAGCAATTACAGTGGTTCTTACCTTGTCGAGACTCCATGAAACTCTGAAGTAGCTGGCCCTGTTGGTCGCTGTTGATATACTGTTCATTCTTGCTTCCAATGATGCAATTGACTAAGGTGGAATTCTGAATGTTGACGACGTAGGTGGGAGCATTGCTCTGTTCGTCTGTGAAGGTCCGATAAGAACGGCCGCATCATTGTTAGCGGTATGTTGCATTTAGAAACTAGTTATGCGATAGATTATTAAGACAGCGACAAAGGAACGAAAGAATTTCATATCACTTACTTGGCAGGGTCCTGTCCTGAAGGGGACAAGGTGTGGCCACAATGGGGCACTTTGCTGCAGGACATGGGGACAATCGGTCAGATAAACTAGGACATGCCAATATGGCAGGAAGTGAGACCAAACACGCAGTGCAGTGGACATACATAATGATGATAATTAAAAATTGATACTTTTATTGATCCCCATGGGGAAATTGTCTTTACGCCTCCCTCAACTTGCTCTTTGTAGAGTAAGCTGTCCGCGAAGGGCAGCCACCTGTTGGGGCACCCAGGGAGCTGGGGGTTAAGGGCCTTGCTGAAGGACCCACAGACGTGCTGAGGCTGGGTTTGAACCGGTGACCTACTGATTACAGGCACACAGGCTTAGCCCACTGAGCCACACGCTGCCCACCCAGTTAGGCTTAAAGGAACGGGGGAGACAGGTAGCTTAGCAAGATGACTAAGAACGTAAACAGAGAGAAAGGTTGCACGTCCAAGTCTCTGAAGAAGCCATGTTAAACAATAAACATAGCATGCGGAATCACAACAGACAGTACCTAGCCTGATCTACTGGAGCAAAATGTTCAGCTGTAGGTTATTATAGCGTATTTTTAGGGCTGTCAAAATTAATGTGTGAATCCTTTCGATGAATTTAAAATTAACACGTTTATTTTAACACAATGAACACGATTAACAATGTCATCATGCAGTGCATTATGGGCCATACAAACCATACAAAGAGACACTTTTTTGTACTATTTTACATTTATGACCTCTACTACATATCTGTGTTATATCTGAATTATACATCCTTGGTGTTTATTCAACATTACTTTGGTGATTGATTTTACATTTAAATAAGATTATAGCTTGTTGTAATGCATAAGAAGATTTCTTTTTCTGGATCATTTGTACATTGCTGGAGCTATCATTTGTCATAGATATGTACATGCTCACCTTGGACGCCTGTCACCTGCTCAAACAAAGAAGGGTCCAAAGATTCCAGAGCCTCGTAAAACAGCCGACAGGCACGGCGCCCCTTGCGGATCAGGGTCTGCATGAAACAGGCCGTCTTCTGCAGGTCCGTAGGCTGAGACCGGATGACCTGTCCCTCATAGTTAGTCAAAGTCTCCGTGCTGGACAAGCAACTGAATATCAGCTCCAGCAACCTGGGTGACATGCCTTTGCTCAGTGTGTATTGGTGAACCTGCAACTGCTTCTCTGCATAAGGAGAGAATGGAACAAGAATAAATCATTTTATCCCCATTCTCTTGTAAAGAAAAGGCATTAAAATGACGTCATATTGTCACAAGCGTCATCGACGACGAGAAATTCAGAGAAGCGACTACTGTCCTTGCGCGATACGTGCCGCTGATATTTGGTTTTAGTGCTGCTGAACTCCGCTAAAAAGGGGGTACGGGTGCAAGGCAAGGAACGACCCAGGATGGGGCACCAGTCCATCACAGGGCACACTCATCATTTACTCACAAATGCACACCTATGGGCATTTTGGAAACGCCATTCAGCCTCAGGATGTTTTTGGACTGTAGAGGAAAACCGGAGTACCCGGAGGAATCCCCACGATGACGTAGGGAGAACATGCCAACTCCAGACACGGAGCCGTGGCGGAGACTCGAACGGTACGAGGCGAAAGTGCTAACCACTGCAGTGGTTTAGCCAAACTCCTACTTTGACGGAGCGTTTGGGTGCGTGTAATATCCTATAAGAAATCGTTCATATGTACTCGTTTTAAATCAGGAATTACAGACATAACAAATGGCCCACAAGTTTCTATTAGCGATCGAACTGAAAATGAAAAACACGTACAAATCCGCCCGACAAATTAATTGTCATCTTTCCAATAACTATATACTACTCCAGTTACGGAATATATTGTACAATGTATTTGGGAGAAATTCATATTGCTTCAGTATCGACGCGTCAAACATATTTAAAATATCTTCATTCGCTACTAATACTATACAACTTAATTTTCCGGAAACCAAACACCCAAAGTTACAGCCGCATAGTAACTTAGTAAAGGTCCACTAAATCAAAAAGAGGCAGACGTTTTAGTGACTTACCATACGGCAAAGACCGGCTATCCCGTGCCAACACCGCGGACTCCATGCGCAAGTGATGCTGTTAGTAAACGCGAAAACCTACTTTCTTGAAGCAGAGACTGGGAAATTCCCATAAAACTGCGCATGCGCACGTAATTCTCCTAATGGCCGCGGGTACGCGTGTTTTGGCAAAACCCATAATACGTAAAGGTGACTTCATACTTCACTTTTCCGCGGGCGGTTTTAGTTTCTCGTACCCAGTTCGTCCAGGGCATGACGTTTATCTACATCCAGGCAAGCAGGCCCTCCAACTTACAGGGAAGTTTTGGGTGGTTGGTAGCCGGATTGGCACTCCAAACTCGCACTGGTCCAACTAGTGTACTGAGGTATCACCCACTTCACGGCTGCACTCAGGTTCTCATCCCTAACGCAGTTCGTCGTGTGGGGTGCAATATGCACTGTAATTAGCGCGCGCCCCTTATCTCCCTGTCGCTCTTTCAGATGCTGACGAGGAGACGTGACGTAAAATGGTCGTCAGGGGTTGGCTGCGGTCGGTGCGCGTGTCAGCTCAGATTTTTAAGTCTAGAGTAGACTCTAGAGGAAACCGTGCGCGTCGACTGCGCAGGTGCACGATAATTGACTAGGTATGTCCAGTATGTGGCATGTGTGTAAACTTCAATATGTTCGGCTAAAAACAAATATCAATAGCTCTGGAAATCCCTTTTCATGCATATTTATTCAAGATTAATGATATATTACTGCGGAACCCCTAAAAAGTCAGGATGAGAAAATATTTTTGAAATAGTTTTAAGTTCCCTCGAAATAGTTTTCCGTTACTAATAATAACTACTGTGTCCGTTTAACGTACAAAATAGAATTAATCGACTAATAAGTATAAACCTAAACGACACAGTCATGTCCAGTTAAGTTCGCATTTAACTATGGGGGACAATGCACACCATGTAACTTTGACGCAGTGCCATTATTAATAAATACGTATAAAAACATTTATATTTGAATTTGTGCATGCTGAATGTGCTGTGTGTTGTCAGGATGGTTGGTAAAACAGCTTCTCATTAAATTGAAGTCTATTATTGTACCGATATCATTTCTGCTGTCAGAAATGGGGAGAGAGGTGGAGGTGATCCGTGGGTGAGGGTGCAGCTGAACCCGGGAAGTGTTCCCTCCTTAAGTGGAAGACAGACTTCCTGGGCCATGTCGTGAGCATGGAGGGCAGCTTCCTGGGGCGGGTTACATAGTACTGATACTTGGCCGGGTACTTTGCCAGCATTACAAAGCTACTACACTATCTTACAGAGAAGGGAAGTGGCTTTGTATTGAAGGGAAGTGATGCTTGCACCGTGGCCCTCAGCCAGCTTTGAATGGCACTCAACAATGTTCTCATGCTGGCCGTGGATGCCAGCAGTGAGGGGTTAGGCATGGTCCTGTCACAAGCAGGACCTGAAGGGGAGCCCATAGTTGCAAACTTCAGCCAAATTCTGAGGAGGTTGGGGTGCAACTACTGCGTGACTTGATGGGAACTGCTAGCTGTGGTCCAGGCCTGCAAGAACTTCCATCCCTACCTCTGTCATTGGTGGTCCCAGTTGTGGATGGCCTGTGCCTCCCTCACCTGGTTGCTGAGCTTCTGCAACCCAGAGGGACAGCTGGCCCATTGGTTAGAGGTGCTGGCGGAGTTTGATTTTGAGGCCCAGCATCACCACAAGAGGCCGCACGGAAACGCAGACACCCTGTCTCGCCAGCCTGGTGTTACTGCAAACTGTGGCCACTGCTGCTGAGCAGAAGAGTGGGACCAGCTTGCTGCGGAAACAGCCACTGCCCAAACAGAGCTGCATAACAAGGTCCGCCGGAACGTTGATCGGCAGCGGCTCATAACAGAGCAGAGCAGCGACCCTGTGCTGCCAGTGTGAGGAAGTGGCTGGACAAGGGTGGGTAACTGGGCTGGGAGGCGATCTTGCCCTCAGGCCCAGAGACCAAGGCCTACCACTCCCACTAGGGCACTCTGGGGGAGCACGAGGGCCTACTGTACACATGCTGTGATCGCTGGATGGTGCAGAGGAGCTACTGCAGCTGCTGGTGCCCCGAAATCCACGCCCTGTTGTGCTGAAGACAGTTCATGGAGTCATCGGGCTTCAGGGTGAAGAATAGAAGGGGAAGCTAAGGCAGCACCTCCACTGGCCTGGCTGTCAGCAGGACACTGAGCTGTTCATAAATTGCTGCGATGTGTGCATGGCCTGGAACGGTCCTAGACGGCAGTCCGGAGCTTCCCTGCAGCCGCACCTGGGGACGTCCTGGGTCCCTGCATAGTGACCAGGGGAGAAACTTTGAGGCGCAGATGTGCTGGCAGCTGGGGATCACGAAGACTTACACTACTCCCCTTCATCCTCACAGTGACAGGCTGGTGGAGGGCTTCCATCATACCCTAGCTGCACAACTGGCAATCCCTGTCGACCAGTATTAGCATGACTGGGAAGCCCACCTTCCCCTGGTTCTTGACTACATGTGCCAGTTCAATGTACAGATCATGCAGAAACTAAGCATGCAACCTCAAAACACAGCCACAGTCAGACAGAAATGGGGGGGGGTATGACGTCCACTGCCAGGGACAGGCCTTCCAGCCCAGGAGATTCTTCTGACAGTATCAAGAAGAAGGGGGAACACCCAAACTGCACAGCCACTGGAAGGGAAAGGTATATAGGGTGTGGATGCCAGAGCGACACAACGACTGTCACGTTGCATCGAAACTGCCTGGCTCTGTACCAACCCCTAGTCCACTCAGAGCACCATTCTTCAGACCAAGGGTGAGTACTTGTTACTATCTTTCACATGCCGCTCAGTGTCCGAGTCGGCCCCCCACTGTTAAAATGTGTGACCCCTCCGTATTTCCTCTTTTTCGGTGTGCGTGCGCGCGTGTGCATGTACTGAAATTCACTCTTGCTTGCTGGTTGTGCTGTGCTCTTTTCAGGACAATCAACAAAAGAGCTCCTTGCTGAAGCAACATCTGTCATTGTGGCGTCACCATATCTTGTGAAATGTCATATTATATTGGTTTTCAAAGTAACGTGAGACAACTATAGTACAGTTCCAAATATAGGAAGTAGTTAGTGCCAAAATTTCATTTGCAGTTGTCACAAAAACGCAAGACCTATTCAATTTGCCAAGGGGAAAACTCTTAAAATAATACCAGCATATACCATATGCAGACAAATAGCTTTGAAAAACAGGAACCGTGGCTGCAAGTCGAAGCTCACTGACTGTGATAGACGGACACTTAAAGGGATTGCTGCTGAACAGCTGCTCTCTGACTCAGCCTCGACAAATTTATATGTTGTGAACTTAAAACTGGGATTTGTAGCAGGTCTATCATGCGGAAAGAACTTACATTTCAGACCATGGACCGCGGAAACGGGGGGGTTTGAACCATCAGTGAGGATGCAGTGATGAACAATCAAGAAAAAATGCCTATAAATAAATTTAATGTTCTGTCTTGTGGCATTGTATGGGCTCTGTCGTCGTTTTGCAGAAAATCAGAGATAAAGGGGGAAAGGACGTCTTTTCTGAAGCGTACTTTACTGCTCTCGATGGTTCCCACGATTATTGCTCTGCGTGTCAGTTTGAAGGTTATTGTATGGCCGCTTTAGAAATGCGGCACTATGCCTGTCGTCGCCTCCTGGTTTGGGCGCACCAGGGTTAACTGGTCGCTTTAATCACTATACTATGTTGCATCCGGGGTGAGTGGACAGCTCTGGTTGACAGCCGGTAATCATGCAGTTCGCTTACTGGTACAGGGTAACATTGATGTCAAATCCGGAACAGCAGACCAGTTATCCCACAATTCGCATTTCAAAGCAAGTACAATAACAGATGTGCTTGCTTTATCAGAGAATACAGTCTATAATCATAGTTGCAGTGTCTTAAGCCGGGACACGATTCCGCACACCTCGTGATTAGTGCCCTTTTTAAAAAAAGAAAAAATAAAACCCACATTTTTGGGCCATATTGGCCAAAACTGGGCTCCCGCACGGCGGAACACCGGCAGCCATTCGCTGCCTCGGTGCAGGGGCGGGTCTGCTCCGTGCGATCGGGCCGTACGTCTCCCTGTGAGAAATGTGACCGGACACAATCACGGGAAATTTGCGCTTTAGTTTCGGACAAAGGCGAGAGCCGTGGACCCGAGGAGGGGGGAAATGAAGATCTGGAGCACAGAGCACATATTCAGGTACAACGCAGTGTAACTAGAAACCGACCTGCTCACTTTGCAAGTCGTGTATCGATACAGCTTTTGCATCATTTTTTTTTGCAGTGCGGTTCACTGTTGCAAGTGTAAGTGCCGTTTTCGTTTTCATTTTTTAGCTAGCCGGCGTTCATGCAAGCGGGGTACTATTCTGTGCTTATTGTTTTGGGCCTTGACGTATAGCCTATGTTTCTAAATAATAGGAACACACTCGCATAATGTGAAATATAATGTGCCATTATTTTTTTTCCAATGTAACGGTACATTGACTGCAAGCATTGATTGCATCACTTAAATTGGAATCGAAATGTCTAATCTTTGTTAAATCGAGGGGAAATCGTCGCAGGTTAACAGTGTGGCATTCTAACTGGAATCGGGATGATTTTAAGGGATACCGTTGTGCTCAGTTTCCCCACCATCACACTGTCCTCCATTGTGGACGCTATAGTCCATTTCGCCGACTAATGTGTGAAACAGGCCGGTTGTGTTACTGTGCCTTGTGCACGTCAGGATGAGATTCGCCGTCTCTGTTGAAACTAGTTTGCTTGCTTTCCCCTTTGGATTCGACTTAAATCCGACACTGGCCATCTTCCTCTTTCCGTGCATCGTCACTGTGCCCAATAATGCGCACTGCCAGCCGCAAAACGTCACAATATTCATAGCAACCGACGACTTCCCAATATTAATTCAATATAAATAGTAACACGGAGTACAATCCCATTAAAATGGCAACAGTCAATTAACGGGTTTCACCCATTTGGAAAGACCTGCATTCAGACATTGCACATTTGTACATTTCATGTGTTTATTTGTATTTGTGGATGCTGTGATGAACAGCCGACCATAGTGCTCCTACGCTGACAGAGATGGACGAGCAGATTGACACCCGGACAGATTCCGCTGTGTTTGACCTGGCCATTACATTTGATTGATGGCACGAGTTTTAAATGTTTGGCATTAAGCAGCTGACTGTCTCTGCAGTCGATCGCGCAGTACGCCTATGCTAAAGTTAGCAGTCCGGATAACTTCACAAAGGCCTCTTATCAAGACTTGTGGGTCCTGCACGTGCGCCTGTCTTTCCTGTTGATGTACAATTTGGCAATGAGGTTTCAGTGAAGTAGATGTCAGAAGTAGTCAGAAGTGGGGTGTTTAGCTATTTAGCTGTTTATAGCAGCTGTGGGGAGGTAATCCTTGGGATAATTACTGTTTTGGCATGGAGGTTGCCGACGTAACATTGGATAAACCCGATTGTGCAGCGAATGGATGAGATGACAAAAATAAAATAGCAATTTTTTTTTCATGTTTTTTTTTTCTTTCAAAATTGGTTAAATACCCCATGTCTGGGTTTCCCTGCTTTCAGAAGTGATGCAATGACAGAAAAAGGAAAAACAAGCAGCCTGGGTTTTTCTGTTCCTCCAACATTGGGAGTTTTTGTTCTCTGTTGTGTTGTGCAACAGGCTGGTTGCATCAAAGAACTAGAGGTTTGCGGTGAGGGGGCTCTTGCACTCCCCCGCTAAGACCTTCACAACAATGTAGACCATTTGAGGCTTCCGCGGTTTGGATATGCAAGTCTATAAACACCTCCTTATGACGTTTGGTGCATTAGTGACCGTTGCCAGGGTCTGCGTTGCTCACAATGCTGCCCTGGTCGTTCGTGCACAGCTACCCATGGGAAACGGTGATCAAGGCGGCTATGAGGAAGTACCCTAACCCCATGAACCCCAGTGTGGTAGGTGTGGACGTCCTGGACCGCAATCTGGACACTCACGGGCGCCTTCACAGCCACCGGCTCCTCAGCACAGAGTGGGGTCTGCCCAGCATCGTCCGAGCGGTCAGTGCACCCCTGCACCTCACCCCGAGATCTCTGACTGAGAATGTCTCAGTCTTTCTGCTTCTGTTTGCGGTCAGCTGTAATATAATAGTGGAACTACATTTGTGCAGACTCTAATTAATAATGATGATAATTATCATTTTTAAAGTAATTTAATTTGTATGCTAAATGGAAAGAAAGATATTTCCTCAGTAGACATATTAATAATAATAATAATAATAATAATAATAATAATTATTATTATTATTATTATTATTATTAGGTAACACTTTTCTTGAGGGAGCACAAGTAACTTCGTAACTATTACAAATCATGAACAAATATAGTAACTGCATGAAATTCTGTATATGAACCATTATGATTAATTAATGATGAATGAACTTGGGATCAGAACGTAACTAACACTTAGTTTCTGATTAATTAATACATTAAGTCAGTGTGCCGCTATATTATTTGTACCCCCTCAGGTAAAGTGTTACTTATTGTTGTTTTTGTTGTTGTTGTTTGTTTTTGTAGTTGTTGTTGTTGTTTTAATAGCAACGGCAAGAACTATATCAAATGAAACTTGGAGAATGAAAAGTAGTGTGATGGTTGGGTTTGCACAGTAAGTACTGAACACTGTAAAACTTGACATGACTCATAGCACTTCATTAGCTTATAAAACTCACGTTTCTCACCTTATAGATACTGGGAACCAGTAGGACTTTGACCTACATTAAGGAACACTCCATAGTGGATCCAGAGGAGAAGAAAATGGAGCTTTGCTCAACAAATGTAAGCGTGATTTCCTTCACAAATACAGTTGAGTTATGTGAACAAGATAGACTATTTTAAAGTAATCTGATGCCCTTTGAATTGTTTCTGTCCACTTAATTGAAATTAAATGCATTTGTTTTTGTTAATGTTTGGTTTCAATTTTTCCTCACTGGGGTGATTCAGTTTGTCTATTAGTGTCATTGAATAAAATTGTGGTGAACGTTGTGAAATTGTGGACACCTGGGGGTATTCCATGAAAGTAGCTAAAGATAGGCAGACTTTCCCGAAAAAGTCAGACTCAAACTTCCGCCATCTCTAAACTTAGCCTCATGTCGTCCCACGAATGCAGTTCAGCTTTAACTAATCAAGGCTCATTCAAGACTGACTTGCATAGTCTCACTTAGTGCGTACACCCGCGATATTTAAGAAGCCCAAATGAACGGATGAACGATAGATCGATCAAATGAGTTGGAAAGCCTGTAAAACGAGAGCGGTGTTTTTTTCCACTGCAGAATAAACGCTGCTGATGGAGCCGTATGAAGAATACAAAGATGTAATCGTTAAAAAAAGGCAATACTGTGGCCATAAACACAGCCAGGGAGTTGGCTTGGCAATGAATTGCAGACAGACTAAATGCATAAGTTACGTAAATGTTACTAGTGCTTAGTACAGTGGCACGGTGGTACACTGGTTTAGCAACACTGTCGTCCCTTCTGTCGCTGAGATTCAAGGAAGAGTTTATCTTCTGAGTTACTGATGAGCTCCATGCCGTTGGCATGGGCGATATCAAACAGCTCTTCAATTGTGTTTAAGAACTCGGACTCATTGGCTTGCTGGGTCTTACTATGTCGGCTTACTTGTTCTTCTTTAGAGATTTCCAGTAAGCAAATAATAGTTCTATCTTTTTGATCGAGTCTTGTCGATGCTTCGTTGGTATGTTTTCGCGAAACCAGAATTCTTCGACACGCTTTGCTGCTGTTCGAATGTCCTCGTGCAGAACATTGTGACAATGCAGAAAGGAATTAAAAACCTGCTCTTCCCAGATGGCAGTTTACTTCCTTCAATACCTTCTGCAGGGTTAACTAAATAATCATGTGAACATGTTGCCATCTCCTAAAGTACTTGCTAAAATGTTCAAACAATTTAGTAATTACGCAGTCACAATACAAGATGATAATTTGTTGACTTGACAGTAAACAATGAGGTCACAGTCACGTGACGTCACTCGTTAGTGATGGTCCTATCAAAAATTTCAGTAGTTATGTTTGCTTTAATCATATTAAAAACAAGTAAGTCCTTAAATCTCAAACCTTACACAACTTCAAATATTGTGAAAATTGTTGCATTGCCGAACTATATGGTAAACTTTGAGCCTGCTGAGCTACGTCAGAATGTTAATTGACCCACTTAATATTTTGCAGGATTCACTTTTTATTGAAACTAAACCACTTTAAGGGTTCAGAGGTAGAGATTTCCAAGATGAAAACATAAGGACCACCCTAATGAGTAGTGAGATCGCGGAATTTCGTCCAACAGAACGATCTTTTGGGAATCTGTTCCCACACGTTGGACGTTCTTTGAGACAACGCTAAACTAAGCCAGACAGTTAACCTGGTCCGGAGCAGACTTGTTCACTTGCTGAAATTACCATGTTAGCTCAGCGGGGATTCATTTAGAACAAGTTGATGGAACGGAACTGCCACTTAAATGAGCCAGACTTGTCGAAATAAGTCAGACTTTCCCTTAATCCTGCTTCGTGGAATACCCCCCCCGCTGACACTGGCATATTTTCAGGATGTTTCGATGTTCTGGCTTTAGCGTTCCCATTTTTAATGCTGCCACTCTGAGAGCTCGGGCGAGCTTGTCTAGAAGGAAGGTGGGCCCAGGGAATCTCTCTTTGAGGTCAGGTGACACCTGGCTTATAGTGCGAAGCTGAAAGGCAGGGCTGACTCTCTCTGCAGATAACCCTGACTAATCTGGTGTCTGTCGACGAGCGACTCGTTTACCAGCCGCACCCGGAAAACCCAGACGTGTGAGTTTGATTGCATCACTTAAGAAGATTGCATCTTCCCCGGAATGGTTACACGCCTATAATATGTTGCTGCTCTTGGTCGCCTCTCCTCCCCCAGGACTGTTCTGACCCAGGAGGCCATCATCACAGTAAAGGGGGTCAGTCTGAGCAGCTACCTGGAGGGGCTGATGGCTCTCACCATGTCGACCAACGCCCGGAAGGTACAGACGCCCAAGTGGTGCCGAGCTGCCTAGTTTAGACCCGCCTGTCACCTGGCAGAACCCAGACAATGGGGTATGTGGTCGATGATTCAGCCACAGACCTAAAACTCAATAGCTCCTTTACAGTGCTCTCTTTTACTCCCGTAGTCCGAATACCTGTGGTTGGCTCAGTGTTTCCCAACCCGGTCCTTGGGGACCCTAGAAGGTCCACGTATTTGCTCCCCCTAAGGACAGTCTGCGGGTCCCCCTGGGCCAGACTGGGAAACACTTGGCTATGTGACCTGGCATCCCTGAATTCCCCATAGCGTGTTTGTGTCTGCTCCATGTAATGCAAGTCCAATCCAGGGTCTCCCCTGACACATCGCCTCTGCTTCTTGGGCTAGAACCCAGGCTCACTGGGGCCCTGTACTGGATGAGCCTGGGATGTACTGGGATGGATGAGTTTGTTTTTAATGTATTTTGACAATTTATAAGCATTGGCCAATATAACAGAATGTCTATGTTTAGCTGCATAGTCATATTTTTAAAATCTCAAATGACCAAGCTCTTCCCTGTTTGATTTGTAACTGCATTGAGTTTGGTTAAATCAGGGCTACTTCTGAACAAGAAGATTCTTTAAGGTCTTTTAAAATGTAGAATAGTGATACTTACCTCATCTTGCTGTCCATAAGAGACAGACAGGTGAGAGAAAGCTTGGGGAGCACCCCCATATGTTACACCCCCGGAGCTGGGGGCCTTGCAGAAGGGCCGGCCCACTGACATGGGGCTTTTTGCAAAGAGTGGGGCTCAATCTACCAACCTTCCAAACATAGGTTTAGCTACACGCTTCCCCTAAGAGATGGAAATGCCTAATGTGGGTTTTGAACCCACGACCCTGAGGTGCAGAGTCTTATGCTGTAGCAACTGAGCTAGCTGTGTAGCCACAACATTCTAGATGGCTGTGTGTTGTAACGTGAGCTGTTAATGTCTAAATGAAAGGCGCATTGTTACAGAAAAAAGATAAAGTAGTTGTAGGAAAGTAATAGAGACTGCTAATAAGGAAGTGGGGAACGTTTTTAAATAACTTACTGCTGCACATTAAGTTGTTGTTCGTCTTGAGTAATTACTCTGCCCATTGGGGTGGGAAATAAAGCCAAAATGTCATGTCACATTACATCATTTATGGTTAGAATCTCGATCCACGATGTTGGCCACTATTTTTTTCTCTTTATTTTGTTTATAAAGCAACCGAATTGAAATGTAATATTAATAAATCAGACTTTACCAATGCAAAGGTGTTAGAAGAGACGCATCCCAAGTTCATCCCAAACTATTTGGTGCATTTTTTTTTTTTAAATCGGGAAAATTGCATCATGAAGTGTCATGCTGGTTCGCCGATGCAAATCGGAGAATCTTATCATTCCTGGTGGGTCCATTTCCAGATTGAAATAAAATCAGTTTTAGCCAGTCGATTTTTTTTCTTTGCAGTGAAATATGGTTTTGTTGTGACTTGAAATCATCCGGGGTTTTTTAGATTTACAGGGAGAAATATTGTTAACTGCAGTCTTTTTGTCCTTGTAGGGATGGGATGCGATCGAGTGGATTATTAAGAACTCTGAACGGGAAAACGTGTCCCTGTGTGACCTGTACTGAGCAGCGGTAACTACAGCTCACCATTCTGTCCCACAATGCTTTGTGTGTTCCCAGTGTTCTGTGTGCTGAGTCAGCCATGCGTTTGTTTCACATCTTAAGCTGTTCCTGGCTATGTTGCTGCTTTGCACTAACGGTATCTCACCCTACGTCACCCTACAGACGTCCTCGCCACGTAGCACGGAGATCAACAGTGACGTGACGTCAGGAACCTCCCGGGTCAGTCGGTGATATTGGGGCCCTCTGGGGAGAACCGGGCTGGCCCCGGTCACAAGGGTGGGGGGGGGGGGGTTTAAATGCAGAGTTCCATAAACCAATAGGAGTTACCAAGTTGGGGTTATTATTTTGTCACTTGCCATTTGTTGCAGTATGTATATCTTGTGTTGCTAGCTTCCTTCTGTGGTCCTTATGCTTGTGAGATACCAAAGTCTGACCTTCACAGACACCTTCACAGGTCTGACGCAAGCAAGTTTCAACTCAAAACAAGGTCCTCTGTACCATGAGCTATAACATAGCTAGGGCTAATATCGATGCAGTATTTATTTATACACTAATTTATTTATTTATTTATTTATTTATTTATTTATTTATTTGAGTGAATGTTGACCTGTCACTGCATATTTATAAGTGAATAACGTTTGAATTTTGAAAGGCGTTGGAGCAGAAGGAGAGGTTCAGATCTTTTCAGCTGTGTTGCTAATTGCCAGGGGTGCCTGAAGGCAATGGAGGGACCAGCTCTGGACAGGGGCCCTTAAATACGTAAAATTATACGTAACGTTGGTGATTATTTTGTCAGGGGGCTTAGAATTTCTAGGTATGCCCCTTGTAAAACTGGTCTGAAACTGCTTTAAACACATAGCATTTTCCTATAACGTACAAAGAAAAATGTCACAGTCACTTTCTGTTGATTTAAGAGCATCTTCCTGTAATTGAAATTTACTGGTTTTACTGGTCTAACTCTGTTTGTGACCATATGAATTAGCTCTCAGACAATGCTTACTGTGTACGTACTGAATTTCACTGAGACCCTGAGAAAGTCGATTGAGTCAGTGTTTTTAACTGATGATAGATCATGAGATTACCTCGACTCCTCTACATGCGTTACCTCAAGACGTGCCACCCTGTGATTCACGTTGCATGATTGCTTGAAGGTTTATAACTGAACCGATTTTTCAGCTGGTCTGATCTTCCATGCCTCATGAATGCACGTTTTTTTTTTTTTGAATATCTCATATGTTCTGAAGGGCGAGCATATAACCTCACAACCCTCCACTGGATACTGTAGGGTGACCTACTCTTTGAAGAATGCTGCTGTGCGTACAGTGTTGGGGAAGTTACTCAGAAAAGTAATCCATTAATGACAGAGGTGGAAAGTTCAGATCCTGGTAGTTAAAATCCAAACCAAGGTTTTGTTTCAACCAACCGGTTGAGCATTAAGAGTGATAGCCACAGAGTATGCAACTGGTTGGTTGTAATAAAATCTTGGTCTGGATTTGTACTTTCGGGACCTGAGCTTTTCACCTGTCTGTAATGGCTTACTTTAGTGAGTAACTCCCCCAACACCGTGTACATATACTTGAGCGTTTCTTCAACCTCTCAGCACATTTTGCATGCTAGTTTTGCCCCGATAAGCCAGAATGTTTTCGCATTATTCAGACTTGACAAAAAAAATGGAAGAAACTAATATTGAACTTGAATTTCTTCTGCAGCTACTTTACTGAAAATAAAGATTAATTAATTATTGTTTCTTTTTAAATCAACAAATGTAATGCTATAATATTAGTTACCTTTTTGCAATATCTCTAACTGATTATTCGGTAGACCTGTTTTCTTCCTTCCCAACTTTTATCTTCTATGTAAAGCACTTTGATCTGCATTTCATATACTGTATGAAAGGTGCTAAATAAATAAATAATAGAGTTAGTAGTTACAGGAAATCGATGGATGAATGTTACTAATTTTATTGCAATTTGGTGTAGAGTTGCAGTGTTATGGATTGGCATTATTAGTGTATTATTCTTATTGGGAGGTACTGAGAGATTATCCAGTGCAATGGAATTTTGGAGTTTGTTCTCAAAACGAGAGCCTCCCAGGCTGAGACTGGCAGCTTAGCTTACTGTGCTGGACCTGCACCTTCTCAGAGTTCATAGTTAGTTCATAGTTCATAATCTCTGCCTCAGTTTATTTGTGGCTCCCACGCTAAGGATGTCTTCCCATCATATGTGCAGATTTGTGTTTGCTGACTGGCCTCAGAGGCTGCAGTTGAGTCCTTAGCTTGTGCATTTTTTTTCTGTCTGATGAGCATCCAGATGCAAAATTGTGGACTGCAATTCTGTATCTCTTAATTAAAGGTTTATAAGTCTGAAATACCGGTAACACTAAAAAATGAGATATGGTTGGAATTAAATGTTTGTGTGTATATGTAGGCTTTTTGGATTTCAACATTTGTTTTTAAAATAACGCCATAATCTTGTATGTTTTGACAAGGAAATTGGTCTAAAATGTTGGTTTTAGGGGAATAAAAGCTTGTTAAAATCTTGTATAACTATATTCTTATCTGGTTTCTCACCATTAAAAAGTTAGGATTTGAATAATTGTTAATTTCTCCCAAGTTGGTAATAAAGAGCTAATGTATCATTGTTGTAACAGGAGATAAAAAGGTTAAAATACATCAAGCCAATATATGAAAATTAGTTTTGCGTTATGTTAATAAAATCAACTTATTTTAAACTTACTGCAGTCCTTTAGCCTTTAGTCCTTTAACACAGTGACATACATACAATGCCCCAGCCTGACATTTTGCTATTTGCAGCAATTAAAATGTTGTCCAGCAGGGGGCGGAAGGGGGCCATCAAGAAATTCCAAGCAGCTTGGGCAGTCTGCCAGTTTCAAGTTTGATGGCATTGGTCTAGTGCCTAAAAATGCAATATTATTCCTGCTGCCCTTCTCAGTGGAATTCTTATGTGACCAGTCTATAATCAGTTAACTGAGCTGTTGCAAAAATATAGGGCATAAACAGTGGGTTTGGCAGCCTCGAAGTTTAACTAATCAGAGGTTCATGGCTTCCTTTCCCCCCTGGGGCTATTAACATCAATACCACGGTATTTCACAAAACTGGGTCCAGTGAAAAGAAATCTATTGGGATTTGGGGGAGGAGGGATTTCTAGAAGCCTGTAGACAATAAATCAAGTGACCATTACATGATTCTTCCCAGCATTGTACCTTCTGTAAACGGATGAGGCGCTATTACTTTTTCCACATGGAGAAATGCAGGCAGGGGGCAGCACACAAGCTGCAGAAACTCACACTGCTGTAATATTATTAAGCGATTTATTTATCCAATAAATCACAAACCCTCTTCCCAGCACCACATAGCTCAGTATGGTCACATGAAGATACATCCATTCCTATCCCCTCATTCACCTTAGTGCTGGTCTGTGAGTCAAACACAGGAAAATTATAATAAAAAACCCAAACATTTCAGTAATACAATTTTGACCATGCAGGTGCTTATAACAAATCGGTAGTTTTGTAACAGTGAAAAACCTCCATGAAAAAAAAATAGATAATAAAAATATGAGTGTTGGCCTGTATTTCAAGCCTCTTCACATTCTGCACTTTGGCTGGAGCGTTTGATTTGTGCTTCCATGAATAAACAGACAAAACATTTCCTTCCCTAGACAGGCTTTCACTGAGGGAGCCGCGGAGGGTGAAATGTTCTAAACCCCGACTTGGCCGGTACCATCGAAAAATGCTGCAGTATTGCACAGAATATACGAGCAAACATGTTTATACAAACACTTTCAAAGAGCCTTTGAAAATATAAATCATAAACTCCAAAATGTATAAAAGTGGAAAAAAAGAATACTATATATACAAAAAAAATTGTACAATCCCAAATCAGTGACCATAAAGTCCATCTGTACACACACACACACATCCTGAGTCATATCTTGACACTTGAAGTCTCATCACCCAGGTCAAAAGCTATAAAATGTTCGCAAAGAGCTTAGAAAATTCTTCAAATGCTCCATTAACATATTAGATTTTAACGCACGATTCCTATTAACTATTAACATGGAAAAAAACATCCGACTCAAATAATCCTCTTTAAGAAGCCGATATTTGCTTACATTGTTACAACAAATGAGCGGTTTATATGCTCAAGAGATCTGAAAAACTCAGTCAAACACAGCGGAATATTTACAAAAAGAAAAATAATTGTTCATCTACATATTTTTTGCTGTGGAGCTCTTCGGATCATACTAGAACGTCCACAGAACTCCCCAGCACATTCTATCCCAGACGTTCCATTTATCCATCTGTCACATTGACCCCACCCCCTTTGCTGAGTCACCCCCTCCCTCCCCTTTTCCCCTCAGCCCTGCCTCTCACCCCTCCCTCCTCCCGAAATGAAATCCCAAATCTCAAGGCATTCAGGAATCAATTGCACTATGAATACTATGTACAGAGTGTCATAAGCCCCTCCCCCCCCTCAGTATTTGAAGAGGTTGATGAAACCTTGGGGGGACACAGCGATGCAGCAGCTCTCCGTGTTGTTGGCAGTGCAGGGGTGGTTTGTGTCCTGGGGAGACAGGGACAGATGGGGTCGTCGGTTCAAGATCACTTACCAGACTACAATACAACTCCTCCAGTAAGTTAGCCAGTGTTTCACAACCTGGGCTTCAGGGAACCGCAGACGGTCCACATTTCTGCTCCCTCCCAGCTATGAAGTGCAGATGTGGACTGTCCGAAACGGAGCTGGGAGGGAGCAAAAACGCGGACCGTCTACAGGTCCCCAAGGACCGGGTTGAGAAACAGTGCGCTAAGCAAACTCAGACATTCCATGAGAAATCACACATACATTTTCTGCAAGATTTTATTGCCTTAGGCTGTAATAACAAGGGGGGGGGGGACAGAGTGACAAGAACCAACATGTCACACATCTCACCTTCCAAAAGAGGATGTGACAGTGGGTACAGAACTGCAGAGTGTCGCTGTACTGCTCCTTACGAGGGTAACATCTGCAGAGTTTGAAGTACATCTTCTTCCAATCCAAATGGCCATTGTCGGTCAGAATCAGACGCTTGCGAATCTGCGTGTTGGGGAGGGGATGGTTCAAAGTATCCATCTTTGCTACCTTCTTTATATAAAGCAACAGCTTGACTTGATTTGAACCCAGGACCCCGGAGGTGGCTCTCTAAACTGCCAGCAACTAAATACAGCTTTCAAAGAACGTTCCATGCCATTAGCGTCACACAGCCAGAGTTGATGCAAAATGCAATTCCTGGTACCTGTCGCTCGGTGAAGTGATACTGGCACAGCTTCTTCCACAGCAAACGGTCCTCGGCGAGGTCGTTAAGGTCTGGGGACACCTGACCCAGGCTGACCAGGTCCCGCCCATCTGACAGCATCTGCATGATGTTGAGCTGCAGGCTAACTGGCAGGTCGGTCAGCGTCATGCCTTTGGATGCTGGCTGGGGATGCAAAAACAAATCCAGTGAAACATAAACGCAAGTGCAAGCTTCCATCCTGCATCAGGTCTCTGACCATTATCATTCTACCCATGGTTACCTTTCCAGACATTCCTCACATTCCCCCTATTTGCCTTCTACCCATAATTCCCCATTGTTTTGACCACCTTCTCTGCTCACCCGGTTGATCTGGATGTTGTCCAGCTGTTGTTGCCAAAGCAGGATGTTCTCCATACGGTGGACCCAGATGTTGATGTTACCCACCAGCACTGACTTGCCCATGTCCTGCACCAGGCTGCAGAGGGACACGTAGAGTGTCTGCAGGAGCTCCCTGATGGGCCGCACGTTCAGCTGGTTCTCCAGCACTGCCAGCAGAGACGGAAATGTCACAATGGTTAAGTTTCAGGCATTCAGCTTAGTATACTAATCAAACGCCATCAAAACACCATGTCATACAGCATTGACACATCTAAATACTTGTGTGTGCTTATTTTTATTGTCCAACTCACACTTGACTGCATGTTTACATGCCTTAATAATATATCGGTTTTGGTTATGAGTTATAGTACAAAATATCTGTGTATGTTGGCAGCACAACCATATTCTCCAGGCAGGATCTGGAACAGGGCATTGAAACAGTTCCCCAAACAAACTGGCTCTGTTTAGCTTAAGGAGAACTTCGTTTACAGGAGTGCCGTTTGTTCTGAAATGTCTGTCGCTCTTCCTGTTAAGAGCAATTATGAAATTCCCCAGGGGTAAAAGTGGCTGGGGACAATTAGATTACTTTGCAGTGTAATTTGTTTTAATTCAGCAGTCCCTTCCAGCCTTTCCTCTGGAATACTTTAAACGGGTATACGCATCTCAGACTATTTTTTTTTTTTTAACAAGCAGAATTTTTGGGAAAGTAGGTTTTCTGCATTAGCATGGACTCACACGTTGGCCTTCGCTCAAGCGAGACATGCTGATCCGCGACAGCTCACCTTTCTGCACCACTTTTTCTAGAATGTTCATGTAGTTCTTCTGCGCCACACCACTCAGGGACGGCAGCTGGGACTTGGCAATCAGCTCCAGCAGCTAGAGAAGGGGACAGAAATATACAGGCGTGAGCTGTGGATGCCATCTCTCCCTGCCAGTGTCAGGGTGGCTTTGTCTGGAGAGAGATTGTTTTGAAACAAAAGCTCGAGCAAAATAAATATAGTAGCGTCTGGAATGGTTCGAGCACGTTGGGGGGGGGGGGGGGGGGGGTCAGGGGGGGGGGGGGGGGGGGGGGGTGTTTTCTTGAGGCTGTCCTCCCTACCATTAATAACTGAAGGCGGAATGATCTTCATCCCAGATCATGCTGCTCATCTAGATTCTGTTCTTAGGAAATCTGAGAAAGACCAGCCCACAGCCAGACGGGACCGAGTACATGAGCCGGTGTGACACAAAGGCCAGCCAAGGGCGCGTAAACATACGCAGCTTCTGTCACCTTCACTCAGACGCTTCTGAAGGTCCCAACAGTCCACAGATTTCTGGGGGACCTTCTAAAAACTCCCACTAAGTCCCATACTTGTACTCAAACCTCATTTTTCCATTAGTTTTTTCCAATTGAAAATGAAACAAGAGGAAGTCCCCACAAAGACATAGCGTGTCTTTAAATGTGATCCTCCCAAGTGGTTTGGAATTGGTTCCATTTTAAATCCAAAAAGCCCCACGGTGGGGGAGGGGGGGTATGGGGTGGCAGGGCATCACAGAGCTGCTGTGGCATCCAAGTCAGGCTGCCCACCCCTGCTGACATCATGGAGAAAAACTGTTCACGCCTCCCGCTTCTTGCTCAACCCAAGCATGTGACCATTGTCAGCACCCAGGCATAACACCCGCACTCTCCCCTCTCCAAAAGTCCCATCGAACACCTCTATTTATCTCAGAGCAGAATGGGACATCACGTCTCTGCTTTTAGCTTCCACTTAGTCACAGACGTTTGACTTGGGCCGATTCCCGTCGGTCTTCCACCGTTACGGGACGGCTGACTTACGCCCCTGACCACCATCTGCACTGCACCTTCTAACGCTGCAGTAAAAGTGCATAACAGTGGGCAGCCAGTGGAACTGGTGGCTGTAGCCCATTCACATTGAGATGTGGTCAGTAAGGAGGAGGCTCCTTGAAAGCAGGCAAAGGGACATGATCAAACTCAACCTGACTCTCTCAATCACTCCTTAGATTACCTAATGGCGAGGGGGTACACTGCGCAGACCGCTTCCTGGTTCTAGAAAGAACAGCCAATAAATCAGCCACCAGCTCTCGTTCTGGTGTACACAGCCAGGTCATGGAGAAAAGGCACTCGGCCATCGGGGGGGCAACAGCCCCCGAAACACAGGACCACCTGTCACCTCAGACATTTCGGCAAAGTGAAAGGTTGACAGAAGTGAAATCTGTCACTGAGAAAATCTAGAACGGTTTGTGGTGGGGGGAGGGGGGGGGGCAGCTCTTGTGACTGGAAACAAAGTCATAACGGCGGTGATAAGAGGTCAGATGATCAGTTGTTCAAGAGTGACTGGGTCATGTTTCACGGCCATGGCTGCATCCTCACCAAATAGTGGCGAGTCGGGTCACCACCTGACAGTGGACTTCAACAACAAGCAGTTGTTTATCCTCGGCAAGACAGTTCAACCAGGGAGCAAAATTATATATATCTCCCTGTTTACATAACTGCCACCACAATGGCGTGCTCTACACCTACAGGACCTACAATGAAAAGAGGAGTCAATTTGGAGGTTCTCAGCATAATGCTAATCTGTTCCCAAGGGGGGGCTGCTTCCATATATCTACAGAGACGGCCGCAGACCAACTTTCCCTGCTCCTTTAAGTGACGTGGGAGCGCCTGTCTGGGCCGGCGTGATAAGGGGGACTGCTTCGGGCCTGTTCGGCCGGCCTCTGACAGCCTGCCGGGAGGCTACTCTTTTGTAAGAAGAAAGAGGGAAGGAAAAAAAAAACAACCACAACTTTCTGAAGTGACGTCACTCGAAAGGAGCTCACCCTGACGACGTAGTTGAATCGTCTCGAGTCCATGATGGCGCTGGAGAAGTCCAGGCGGTTGAAGGCCTCCCCGAGAGTGCAGTATCCATGGCGCTGGGGGGGGAAAAAAAAGACACACAAGGGTGAATCTCTGTCTGACCTGAAAATTCTGTGAACACGTCCCCCCCCCCCCCCATTTCCCACTGGATATAAACAGCCTCAGACAGTACCTCCTTGGTACTTCCTTTGTGGACGTAGATCCATTTGTCTTTGTGGAAATCTGCAAACAGTATACATAAAAAAAATAATTTGAATGTCTTATTCATGATAGATTCCAGTTTTGAAACCCTATGAATGGGGGGGGGGGACTTACAAGGAACCTTGGTGCTGTTGTTCAGGAGGTCTTTCTTGCGTTTCTTTGCTGCCACATCATAGTTCATGGCCAGAAACATGTTTTCTTTGTACAGCTCCTCATCTTTACAGCAGCTGAAATATTTTTGTCAGGAAAAATGTTAAATAACACACATGATTCCCACTGCCCCCTATACATTGGTCTTTTGCACATCAAAGGCAGCTACAGCCATGCCTGCCTTTATCAACTTAATATCTTGTCTTGATACAAATGGTTTGTTTTGCAAGCCGCACGGTGCCTAACAGATGCCCATTAATCCTATCGCGATGGGCTATTTTTACGGCAGAATGATTAACGGCTGGCAAACACCAAGTTTACAAAGCGCATCACGTACCCGACCGAGTTAACTCCAGACGGAAACATAGCATTCATTCTGTACTTTAATAACCTTATTTTCAGACCATACTTAGAAAAAAAAAATATCCCAAACACGCCGAGTTTTTGATCCAGAACCGGGGTTAGAAGGCGGGTTTAAAATGCGGAATTAAAAAAAAAGACGCAACGCAGACAGAAAGCTACCCTGCTGTGTAGCATAACAACGCAGATTCATACACACATCACTCTGCGTCTTTGAAAAGCAAGGAGACCTGCACTAACTAAAACTTTCATAACTTTTTAAGAAGATGCATAATGTTGGAGACCTACACTTACAATCGTAAGTGTCACAATCGTATGCCACTGGATTAATCTTAACGAAGAGCCGTGAAACAACAGCAGTATAACAAACAGGAGTAAAAACGAGCACTAACCCTTTTAGTTCTGTAACATTATTGTTCTTTTCGTCCGAATACTTTTTCCAACCTTCTTCAGTTTTAACCCAGGTCTGCCCAGGCGACCTCCAGTCCTGTCCTAGAAATGGCATCTTCTAAACCGGGCAAAGCAGCAAAACCGGAGTGAAATTACAATTCAGAAATTATTCTGTTTCAGTGCCTTTTCCCCCTTCTCTAGATCAGAGACCAATAACTTCTGACTGACTATGTGCGCAGTTGTACTTATATCCGAAAGCGAAGTTTCCGGAAGTGTTGGCGGCCCCGCCCCTTTTGGAAACGCTGTCACAACACGTGGCTTTGTTTACCATTTTGCTCCGTGTTGCAAAACCTCTCTGGAAATATCATCCAGACTTTTAAGCAAATTGTCAGCTGCTCCTTAAGACGAACGCGTCGGTCTGTCTTCATTCCTCGGAAAGAGGCCATGCTATAAAAATATTATTTGACGTTGTTGTTATTTGACTGAGTAACGGGGGTATGTTTTCCACATTTTACTCGAAAGTAGGCTATCTAATAATGGAGATTGGTTGTTTATTTTAAACCTAAAGTATCTATGCGCGATTCCCCTTCTCTTACCTTCCTTTATACAACATTAGAGAAACTTAACACAAGATTTTGTTCCTATGATTAGACTGCTAAGAAATTAACAAGGGCGCGTTTCCCATCTGACATAGTTGGAAGTTGGAACCGTTCAGTTGTATGTTTCCAACTATGTCAAGTTGCTAACGTTGTTAGCGACTATGCTTTTCTGGAAACGTACCCTGTAGTACAGTATATGCATTCCGGGCAGAGTCCGACCTCGTGCTCTAAGCGCCGTTTCTACCCGCGTTCACTGAGCTTTGGTGAGGATCGTAGGCTTCGAGCGTATCGGTAGCTGTGACGACTCGAGCGAGGGGAGCAGTATGTTTTGTTTTAGCAAAACAAAAACGTAAACTAATAAAAATGAGGATAACGGTGTAAAACGGGCATCAGCATAAAGCACAGCCATACAAATAACCGGCAGTAGTTGGAAACTATAACTTTCAACCTGTTGTATTAATTTCTGTCAAATCTAACTTCATCTCCACACAATGACAAAAGCTTCACCAATAGCGGAACAAGCACAAACGCCTCTGATTAATGTGTAAAAACATCTTTGCGCTCTACTTCGAAATGTTAATTTGTAAATGAGCAGCCCACTTTGTAGGCCAGACAGTTCATACATCCAGGAGGACACTGTGTATCAGAGCAGTTACACAACTGGAAATGTGACCAACCACATCACAGCATAAGGGGTCTTTTGCAGTAGCCCCTTAGTACATAACTGGAATTTATCCAGCAAACTATATAGGCCTAACTATATATTTGAAAAGAATCTGTATTGAAATATCAGCAATTCAATGGTGAACAGCGTGCTCCCTCATGTCTTTAAAGTATATTATTACTTTGCTGTTGCTTATGTTCTATCCAATGCATCTTGCATAATTTTTAGCACACAATCACAGAGGGACGTTTCCCTACAGCAAGTGGCCTTCAGGCTACAAGTCCAAGTCATTAACCCCTGTGTCACCCTGTATGAAAATATGAAAGTATCTCAGGGCTTTAGTGTTATTGGCATAACGGTGATGCATCTCATCACAGCGAGGCTGGGCAGGTCAAAGTTGTGGTACATGAGCAGATGCAGGGAAACTGGAGCTCCATAGCAGGTGACTCTCCCATGCTGGGTGACCCAACACAGCATCTAATGTGATACCAAAGGTCAAAGGGCACACCGTGTCATTAATCGGGAAATAAAAACAAGGAACAGTGATGATACGGTTTCAAGTAGCCTAAGTATGAGGCGCACAGATGAAAGCACGTTTCTGGAATTCTTTTTTAAAATCCGTACAATTCTCTCTTCTTTATTTAGTTCTTCGCTGAGAACCCACTGTCCACGAGTTATTAGATATTATACTGCAAGGTATCGTGTTTCATCTGAATGTTTGACAACTAAGTTTGTGGTGTTGATGTTGGCGAACCGTCAAGTATGAGGAGTCTGACTGCCGAAAATGGTTTTTATGGTCTAGCCGGTGTTCAGACACAACATGTACTCAGCATTCCTTATCCTGGATGGTAAAACTATAAAACGTAATTACAACGGCAGAGGTATTTCGGACAGTATTTCCTACCTGGGGGGGATACTTTAGGTTTATTTCTGAAACGCCAGGAAGCAGTAGGTGAATGCGTGGGAATCTGGTGAGGTAATAGGTCCGTCTCGGGTATAATCGGAAGTAAACGTAAGAGCAAACCAATATGCCAGAAAAACGAATAAAAAAGAAAGATGAAAGCAGTACAACATAGGCCTACATATAGTGTAACGATAAGATGAGTCTTGCCCAGGTAGATTGAGGTTTAATTTAAAAACAACAACTAGGCTATATAAATAAGATAAATTTGCTTTAAATGCCCGTAACATTTATCCTGCTTTTCCAGTGTATTTAACTGAGCTTAGCGTTTGGCACGCAGTAGGCTACTGGAATGAACGTGTGTTTTCGGGGGGTCGTCCCATAAGAAACTTTCATGGATCTGCCTTATAAAAGAAGAAAAAGTTGAAAAGACGGGAATCCTCGCAAATCTTAATCTAAAAAAATTGCGTCACGTTGGGCGCTGGGACATAATCCACGGGACGATCTTTCGCTGTTTTCCGTACTCATAGTTCACAGCTGGCAAAAAACATATCGGTCGTTAGCACCTGTTGCTGCACATCTATGAAAATTTCATCATCTGCCCCAAGCGAACAGCAGCACCGGGGTAAGAGCACCCAGCGAAGCGTCTGACAGCCAGTATGACCGCGAGTCGCGGGTGTAATGTTCCCCCTGTTCAGTGTTTGTTTCCCAAAATAACGCCGTAACACCTATAGTTTCCGACCTCTACGCCCCCCATCTTCCATTTTCTGCTTCACGATGAAAACAACCTTTGGCCCAATTTACAGGAAGGAAACGTGATCGGGACTCGCTGAACGGACCTCTGGCCACGCAAATAGAATTTCCTTGAACCCCGGAAAATGCTAAATATATTAACTAACAATATAAAAGAGCGAAGGTTAGACCCCTAGGTGCGCTCGTTAGTAAGTTAGGTACGTGATCTGTTCTGTTGGTTTTAATTCCACCGGACAGTGATTTATAGATAATTTTCCTGTGATGGCAAAAACGCCAAGCAGAGCTTTGTTTTATAATACTAGTACATAATTTTGGCCTATCCTTGTAAGTACACCAAATTTATCTTCCTTATATGCATGCAGGTTTCTAGAGAATTTATAGAATATATTAGTGATTTTGTTTCAAAATCCATTCATCTAAACAAACACCTGTCTATATTGAGAGAAAGCGCTATACCCAGCCAAATCTCACATACAGATACCCAGCAGACTAGTGGACTTTTATGAGTGTACCGATGCGATTTCCTCGACTAAAAGAATATGCACCTGGTATACAATCTGGTGTGAACTCTGGGTGCATCGTTTCTAACATCTTTACATCGGTAAAATCTGATTCATTAATACATAATTATTAGTAAAGGCCTATGTCTTTATTAACCCGTTTAGAAATGTGACCAGTAATTTTTGACTCAATGACTGACTAAAGACCCGAGCAAAGGCAGGCACAATAGAGAGCTGGGCTAAGGAGAAAGGTGAAGAACATCAGACAATCAACCAATCACAGAGGGCGCAGGACAACAGGCAACAGGTTAACTCAAAGGTACCTGATTTGATGATGACGAGTAAACCGCTAATGAAACAGTACTAATTTGTACCTTTGTTTATCACTGGGACTGTACCCTCAAGAGCCTGCCAGTTGTACCCTGGCTGTAGGTGCATTTTAGTCTAATTTAAGGTACAGAAATGGACTCTGAGGAACATCCCCAAGGTACAAACAGCATTAATGTTCCCCCAATGGTACAAAAATGTTCCTCAGAGTTTCCTCAAAGTTTCTGTACTTTACAGCTACCTACAGCTACGGGTACAACCCCAGTGACAACTAAAGGTACCCACTGCTACCCTTGTTTTCTGACAGGGTACCACTTATTCCTTACCAGGTTGCAACTGGCAGAAAACATTTGTAATACACTGAAATACAGCAACACTAACTTCATAAACATTAATGAGAATTTCAGATTTAGTACATGACGCTTCAGTGTTGCCAGGGTGGATTTTCGAAAAGAATTCCAAAAATGTGTTTTTTTTTTCCCGAATTCCTGAATAATAATTCTAAATAATCCCTGTACTATTGAATTTTGGATAAAATGAGGAGCTATTATATTTAACGCTGATGAATGACTGAAAATGTTTGTGCTGTAACTTAGGCCGTTTTAATGAAATGTTTAGCTTATATTTCAGCGGTATGCTAAATGAACATAACTGATTTTGTGACATTAAAGCTTCAAATCTGCCCACAATATTTTATTGTGGTGTTAAAAAATTTGCTTTACTACATTAACTAACATGTTAGTCCAATCAGTAGTAATTGGAAAGAATAGTTACATTATTCTAACTGTTTCTTCAATGCCTTATGTGATTCAGAACAGGTCTAAGTATATACCCATTAAAAGTGTAAGAGGCGCTGCACTGAGCATATGAGCCGTTCCCGGAAAATTAAGTCGGAGGTAATATTTTGAGGCGTTTTATGACCCTTCGCCATTAGACCCAAACTGTAGCATCAGTAGGAAGTGGACACGCGATGGACAGGTTCAGTGCTCCTTTTGACACGGACTGTGGCTGCGATGCACTCAGCTCAGGCAGCCGGACGCACCTACTGCCCGTCTCCAGTTATGTTCCACGCACGTTCATGTTCCCACAAGCTTTAAATGTATGCTATTTAAAGTACATAACCATCAAACATGAAATGGCTCGTTGCCTTCACCTACCGCGTTGACGAGTGGCGTGATGATGGACCAAGACTTCACAGCCAGGCCTTCTCTGGCACCCCGATACTCTCCTCTGCACTTTACACTCTGTTCTCATGGGTAACACTTTCTTTACTACCTAACATAACATACAACTCTCTTAACTTCTAACCCCAGAATGGAAAATGCATGAATTATGATTGCTATGGGATCTGTCCTCACACATACAGGGTTATGGGTTCAGATCCCGCGTATGTTCTGGGTGTTTATATGTTCTCTCCGTGGTGTGTGTACGGCCTGCAGCTGGCTGGTATTTACCCCTGCTGTGTCCCCTGCGCTGCCTGGGACATTCGTCTTTAAATACAGCTATAAAAAAAACAGCATATATGTAAATAGCACTGGATATTTCCCAAACAGTAATTCCAGCAAGGGTATAAAAATGCTTTATTTTATTTGGAAGAATAAATATTGTTATTTGAAAAAAAATATTATATTCAAATTTTTTTTATGTGCTTTCTTTGAAACATAAATGTCCAACCTCATACATTGAAGTATGTGGATTAAAAATGACACCCAATTTACAAAATATATTCTATATATCGTTCTGTATTTTGATTTTCAAGAAAAATGGTGGGATTGCTTCTAAGAAGCAATTTTAATATAAACTCCCAATAAAATTTATACTTTTTTTACTTTTCAGTTTAACTCAATAAAAATGATTTTTCCCCTTCTAGGTGTTTGGTTTGCAGCAGTAAATGATTTCAAAATACTTTAAAGAAGGCATTTTCCTGGCAACACAATTATCCATCCATCCATCCATCCATCCATTTTCTGTTTGTCCAAAGCAGTTGCTGAAACGTTTTTTTTTTTTTTAAAGAAAATGGACAAACTGCAGAATTTATGAGAAAATGTGCAGTTTCAGTGACTGTAAAAGATAAATAAAAATTCAAACTTTGTACATTTTAAAATTATAAGTATTCATTAATTGATTAATATTCATTAATCAAATATTAATTTTAACATGGATTTAATATGTAAAGGCTAACAAGAGCTGGACTGTATACGAGGTGTTTATTTTTTACTTCTGTGTTCAAAGGTAGTTTTTTATATATTGTGTTTTTGTTAACTTTCTTTTATGCAGTTTTCTTTCTTTAAATAATCATTTTACTATACGGACTGACAACCCTGCCAAAGTTAGAAAGTGCTTCCTCCACCACAGTGAAATTCCAGGTTTAAGTGTTTTTATTTCTATGTATAGATAAAGCAATTTTTAAAAACGGACACAATTATAAATCAGAAGACATACCGTGAAAAGACTACTGTAAATAAACAGAACATGAAGTGTGTATGAAAAGAGAGATGTTTTGTTTTTCTGGGGGTGCTGAGTGGAAGTGTGTGAAGGGTTAAAATCAGAGGAGCGATACAAACACGAGCAAATCTTGGCTGCCACAGAGACGCTGGGGTCAAAGGGTGGCAGGGGCATCACCATGGCGATGCGATGATGCGGGGAAAACTACAACCGGGAGTCTCTTCAGCCGTCCAAGTGTCACATTCATTTTTTTTCTGTTTGAAAATTCCCATAAATGCACCCACATGGGAATTCTGGTGCCCTGAGCACATTAAGCGTGTGTTCTGTGTTTCTGTTTCTGTGATATATATTTTTACACTGAACTTCTGTTACAATCATCCGTTAAACAGATGTATCCAGTAAGCTGTTGTGAAAAAGTGATTTCTTACAGAAGAAATTCACTAATCGTGTGCTTCGGAAGCCATACCAATCCTTCAATCTGAAGGTCAAGTCTTTAGATATATTGCACAGAATTTTGTGTTATTTCATATTTCTCAGATCCCCAAGTCATCTAAAATCTGTATTATTTCTGCTCTGATTTTGATGTTAAAGCAGATCTGCTAATATGAGAAGGAAAATATTATGTTTAAAGGCTGGGGATGTCATGCTCACTTGGGGTCGTATGCAGTGCTGGGTCCCTGTGCCTCGACAAGCCTTCCCTTGAGAGTTGTTGAATTTTTATATAGAGTTTAAATTATGTGGCTGAACAGGACAGGAGCTTTTAACTAGAGGATTTTCTGGCCTAGATCCTGTTGTGGTGCCCTTGAGTGTGGTATTTAACCTCAGCTGCTGTATATGTGCAGCTGTTCAAAAGGGATAAATGAGTAAAACACCAGGTCACTTTGAAAGCAGCTTAAAAAACTGCATTGTTAATGAGCCAGTGTTGTTCTTTGGACCTTCAGCACCAACACACACCACACGTGTTTGTACTCATCTTTGTGGGGACCATCCCTTCATTCCTATAGGAGAAACCCTAATCCCAACATGGCGACCTTAACCCCTACCCAGCCCTAACCTAACCTTAACCATAAGTAACCAAACAAAACACAAGACTTTTGGCATTTTTAGTTTTTTGATTGAAGTCACAGATTTGTGTAAAATTGAGGTTCCCCTTGTGGGGACTGAAAAAAACGATCCCCACAACATGAAAATAGCAGGTTTTTATCACATTGTGGGGACATTTGGTCCCCACAATGTAATATGTATGTAACACCCACCCCCACACACACATATGTACACAGACACACACACACACATATATATATATATATATATATATATATATATATGTACATACACATATATATCCATCCTTCCATCCATCTTACATAAACACTTGAACCTGCATTGAACCTTCAACCTAGAGCCTATCCCAGGAAGCACTGGCCACAGCCTGGATGGGATTCCACAGTGTCTTATATATTGTTAGCAAATAAATAATAAAGTTAGTGACAGAAAAAAAACTATTTTAGGAGTTCACTTTTGTCTGTCACTTCAAATTACTTTGAAAAAAAAAAGGCAGTCATTTTTAAGTGAATTGCAACAAGAATGTCCACTTGGGAGGAATGTCTTAAAACCATAATAAGAGTTTTCAGATGTGCAGAACTTCTGAGTTAATTCACAGAGGGTTACAAAACATACCACTTCAAAACACTAAATACTGTTTTTTTTTCCATGGTCACATGGCTACATTGATGCTCACGATCTGCACCACAGGGGGAACCAGCCGTTGAGTTTATGGGGAAACCATAGACCTCTCACTGAAAACCAACTTCCATTGGAGAAAACAGTCTGGTTTCTACTGTACTGCTCATGGATGCGTATAAAGGTGATTAGGACGCCTTGGAATGGATCCCATGCATGACCATTCGTAACAGCTTCTGTTTAAGACACGCTGCAGACACACTAGTCAGTCTTTCTCCAAGGGTCTTATGAAGAAGAAGGACCAATCAGGTGGCTACCCTAATCCGTGATGTAGCCCGAGGTGAGGGGAAGCCGTTCAGGACGGGTTGGGTTTGTTGGAGACGCAGATGAGCGGCAGGGAGCCGTGGTCAAACAGCTTGCAGGGCAACGTCCCCTTGGAGGTCCACACATCCGTCTTGGGGTCATAGCAGTCAAAGCAGTCCGAGTCTTCGATGACATCGTGGCTGTTTATGTAGCGCCCCCCCGTCACGTACAGTTTGTTGTTGATGACAGTAGCCGCATGGTGCATCCTCCGCTCCTTCATGTTTTCGCATTTGACAAACTTGTTGGCCCTGGTGTCATAGGCGATCACTCGTCTCGTGTACCCTGTACAAGATGAGAGGATCATTCTAGAATATTGCATAGTTTCAATGATAGTCTACATCAATCTCCACCAGAGGTGGACACTTCAGGTCCAGAAAGTAAAAATACAGACCAAGATTTTGTTTCAACCAACCAGTTCAGCATAAAGAGCCACAGTCACGGAGTACTCAACTGGTTGGTTGGAACAAAATCTTGGACTGGATTTTTACTTTCTCAATCTGAAATGGCCACCTCTGATCATAGCAGCTCATCGATCTATCCTGGATGAATGCCAGACAAAACACATACAAAAATTCAATTTATGAACATCAACTCAACCACCTCTCTTTGGGATCAAACCTGAGTTCCCAAAACAAACCCAAGAAAATATAGAAAGAACATGCAAATAGCACACACACAAAGTCAGGGCAGGAACCAGACCTACAATCATGAAGGTTTGAGGTTTAAACATTGCTCACCTCCAATAATGTAGATTTTATCATCAATCACTGCAGCTGGAGCACATACATTCTTCACAGTTCGTGTCTCCAGCCTGGACCAGAGATTCCGAGCTATGTGATATACCTGAGAAGGATGAAAGCAGTGTTGCCAGTCAGCGACCCCGCAGAAGGAGTTCCCCATGCACTTGTTATAAGCCTCCCGTGAACACTGGTACCTGTATTAACCTGACAGGATTCTGCATGGCGTCCTCACCACCAAACACATAGATCCTTTGGTCATTGGCGGCCACAGCCGGGTGCAAGACAGCTGTCGGCATGGCGGCCATGGGCTCCCAGAGGTTGAACATGCTGTTGTATCTCTCCATGGTGTTGGAGATCTGCTTGTCGGGCCCGATGCCACCGATGACAAAGATGAAGTGCAGGTAGGATACACTCTGGTGTGCGTAACGTGGCTTCAGCATCGGCTCTGCTGTCCTCCACTGGTTGGTCTTGAGAGACAGGGTGTAGACGGTGGTGCTGACAACTCCATCCCCTGAGCTCATGGCCAGACCTCCCAGCACGTAGAGAATGCTGTGGATGCAGACGTAAGAGGCCTTGTAGAGTCGGATGGGCAGCTTAGCCAGCCACTGCCAGCGCTGGGTACGCTCGTCATACAACAGGGCCTCGCGTGACGTCTGCTCGCTGTTCTTGCGTCCACCCACCACCACCAGTGTCTCGTGGCAGGTGTAGCGGCGTGGTGTCACCCAGAGCGGCCCCAGCTCGCCGCTACACTTCATGCTCACGGAGAACATGAGCCGGCGGACAGACTCGATGATCTCAGTGCAGAGGGTGGACGACTGGATGAGGGGATCATTGGCGATGAACTGGAAAAGGTACGTGGGATGGATGTAGCGCAGGCGTACCCTCTTGAAGAGGTCGTGGATGGCACCACGTCTGGAGAAGGGGTCGTGGTGGATCCAGGCCAGAAGGGTCTCAAAGACCTGCTCCTCCTCAGCACACAGGCGATCGTCCTCCAGGTAGCACAGCAGTTCGGGCAGGGTGAGTTCGCAGAAGTCCTCGGAGGCAGCCACATCTGAGAAGCTGCGCACAGCCATCTCCTTGGCCTTCTCCCGCAGGCTGTGGCAGTGTAGGATCTCGGAGAGTCGGATCATGCTGAGGCAGTTGTCTGGGCTCAGCTGCTCCTGCAGAAACGTGGAGCAGGCCTCAAAGAGCCTGTGGTACTGCAGCATGGACGCGGTCTGCATCAGTGGCAGCACCAGATCCATGGTGATAGAGATGGTCCCGGTGTACACATAGTCCACGATACCAGAGAGGACAGTAGAGGAGATGCCTTTCAAGTCTATTCTGGTCTGGTGGCTCTCCTTGAAGTTGCTGCAGAACATGGCCCGGAAGTAGGGGCTGCTGGAAATAAGAACATTCCGGTGGCATGGGATTTCCATGTCGTCCGAGCAGAGCAGCACATCAGTGAAGATTCTCTCCTGCCTCAAGTAATTCAGCTGTGTTAGGAGATGAGAGGAAAGCTCTCTGTCCTTGTAGTGATAGACCTCAACTGGTGGACAGTCCATCCTGCGAAGGGAACGAACAATAAGGTCCATATGACTTTGTTGCCTATGGTCAGTCACGCTTCTTTGGAAATTTGATCCATATTATAATGGTCATTTCTGCAGCTTTAATGTTCGCATGAAATGGCCTGGCTCGTTGCCATAAAGCGAGATGTCTCTTTATCGTTTCATTTTTTATAGTTATAGAGGAAGTGTCATTACAAAGACTGCCCCAGGTGAGGAATAACTGACAGAGCTTTATGTTCTGCCGCCCCTAAATCCCGTGAATGTGCTCTCCCGGTTGCTCTGCCCCCTACTCCCCGTCAAAGCTAACTTTATCATAGGTCTTATATAACTGCCCTGCTGTCACTCCCAGTTTAAAAAGTCTGTCCTTGACAATTCCAGCTTTTACATACAAGCATTCTACAGAGCTATTACCAAAACGAGGCGAGATCTGCCTCATCCCCCCAGAGACTGCTACTGATTTAACTTCAGAGCTTAAAACAGGAATACCTTTCCTGTTATTATTAACTAACCTGCACTTTATATGTTCTGTTTAATGACAGATTGGATTTCCCAGCCCTAGAAGAGGCCTTTAAATAGAAATGATTACTGCTGTTGCATTTCCTGTCGTGTTCTGTTTTCCTCCACGGATGCATATATGGAATATTACCTATTAGTTACATGAATAATATTATTTGCTGGTAATTGTATGATTTATGGTGATTTCACTTTTACATATGGTAAAATATGTCATATCAGTGTTATTCAGGCATGACATAAAAGTTTTCTTTTCATTATTATTCCATATCAGTATATATTAGTAATAAAAACATGGCAGCAGGTTGCTTTGTTGGTGTTTGTGGAGTTTCCTCGAGGCTATCTATCCCTCAAAGGAAGGAAGTTCTCAAGCTAAATTTCACTGAAATAACCAGCTATTTAAGGGGCAGTGTGTTAGTGCATTTTGGATTATGCAAGAATATAATAATTGTAATACTATTCCAGTATAATAAGCAGTGTTTAATAGAAAAGTAAATTCAGAAATTACTTATAAGAACTTAGAATTGAATTTATACACATACCTGGTATGTGTGTGTATGTGTGTGTGTGTGTGTGTGTGTGTATATATATATATATATATATATATATATATATATATGCACACACACACACAAACCTGTAGTCATTGTTTTAATGACACATCTATGAATCATGGATCATTGTTTTATCCCAGTCTGTGGAGTTTTTCCATTACAGCAGAATTACATAAAATTACTGACTATTCATCGCCTCCAAAAAGCAGCCAAATGTACTTACTTTATGCATAATTAACATGCAGCACTAAGCAGAAATTCTCAGCAGCTCGAACACAAAGGCAAAAATGACACCTTGGGTCCAGGTGTTGGAAATCTCTCTGTTGCCAGACGACAAACACCTCCCTGTCTCCGTTAAACTGTAAATGACTGAAATCAGGAGCAGGCTTATGAAATGACAGGACAACGCATGCTGTTAATTCGCAGGTCAGCCTGTGCGAGTCCAGCCAAAGCCGTGAGGAGCGCCGGTCACTCACTTAGTCCCAGTCTGCTCGGGTCCTGAAACGGCGTCCTGTGACTGTGGCTCCAACCCAGAACGGCACGGCTGGAGACGCCTGAAACTTCACATTTTCTGCCCCCTGATTCTCTCCCTCCAGCTCTACCTCCCTCATACATATATACGGGCACACAGTCTGCAGCACGCTTCAGAAATTAGTGCGTGTGAGATGGGGGGGGAAACGGGTTCTGTGAAGTTTGTTGTCGGGATGTCAGTGCTCCCCCCCCGTTAGGCCGCGGTTTACATTCCAGCCCTAAAAATATCCCCCGTGCACAGCAACCAGCCCAACCACTCACACGTGACCCGCTGTGTGCTTTTTAAAAGGGACATGAGTCCCACTGCATCACCTCGCAGTCATGGCCGCCCCAGGATACTGCAGAGTGTTTACAGTGGACTCTGAAGCACAACAAGGCATGGGGGGGGGAGATGGGGGATGGGGGGGGGGGTCCAGTTATTTGAGGAACCAGCTCTGGAACTGGGAGTACCCCACCCCCCCCATCCCAAAGACCCTGTAAATGGAGCCTGTCGATGACGGCAAGGATGACCGGGTGGAACAGCTGAACTGTAGAGACGCATGACTGCCCCCTACAGGAGGGGAATGGAGGGAAGCTGAGAGATACATTATGGGTTTGCTAAGCCCACTGCTTGGCTCTAACAGCCAGGCATAGGAAAGGAACCAACCAATGAAGCGCTCAGCCTCATTAACAACTCGATTTTAAGGCTTTAAATAAACAAACATCCACAGCAGGCGCGTAATGGTTCAATAGCCATGGAAAATGGATGGATGGATGGAAGCTGTATCTAAACTCATCAGTTAGCAACACCTGACATGATGGAGCTGAAAGTGACTCCAAGTCAGAAGAATTGTTAAAATCCTAGAATATGTCGCTGCCTCAGCCTATTTCTTTGTGACGAATACAAATACATAATTTTGCGTCATCTGGGAGCTAAGAATAGTAACTGGAATGTGACTTGACATATACCAGATGGGCAGCTATCTGGTCAGAGCACAACCACACTACTGTGGGACAGGGTTACATACAAGAATAACTGTTTTCCAATAATTGATGGCTATATCATGTTTGTTTATGACATTGTTTCTCTTCATCATTCAAAAGGAATTATAATGATCTTTTTCACAAACAGGCTGTCCCGGTTTTTCTATGGCCATCATACAACGTTACAACAAGTTAAAATGTTAAACTTAAACTACTAAGTGAGTTGAAATGGGCCTGACAGATGACGTTAATGACAAACCGCTGATTTAAACCAACGTCGAAGTCTTTTAAACAAACAGCTCCATCTGCTGTCACTTCACTTTTTCAAAACATTTACCGGTGCTATAAGGAGAGAATGTTTATAAATATGCACGCACAAAACAGAAATGCATTATTAAAAATCAGAGAGACGGAAAGAGAATTTCAGCTTTTTTTGTTTTTTAAAAAGATACAATTATACAATAGCAACCGACACACACCAATCCATTAGCTTTTAATTGAAAAGGTTGCATTATTAAATTTATCTGTATGGATTTGGTAGTGGCACACTGACTGCACGCATGCATTTTTTTTCAGCCAGCTGTAGGCCTGTATGTCATAAGTGAAAGATTAGACTTCAAAAATTAATTCATCCATCTATTCACCCATTTTCCAAAACAGTTTATCCCAGTCGCGGTCGCTTGCTTTCAAAAATCCCATCGCTGATGCCATACTTTGATAGCCACCGGTAGGCTGAGCTTCTGCTAATGAACAGAGGGCTGAAATCTGTCGTAAGGAAAAGTCTGTATTTTCAAAGGAGAAAAGAGAATAACATTCATCCGCGCAGTATATCATATGTATTATTATTTTGGAATATTTACCAATTATCCAGGGAGGTTTTCCACAAAGCAGGACTTCTCAGTTAGCTGACTTAACTTCAAGATTCTTTATTCAAGATTCAAGATTCAAGATTCTTTATTTGTCACATGTAGTTATAGCTGGTACAACATACAGTGAAATGTGTTTTCCTGGCTGAACTTTAGCTAGAAGTAACGATCGTTCAATAATCGTTTAGGTAGGGAGCATTCCTATTGGACAATCATAAGGGTTTAGGTAAGGAGCATTCCTATTGGACAATCATAAAGCTTTAGGTAAGGAGCATTCCTATTGGACAATCATAAGGATTTAGATATGGAGCATTTCTATTTGACAATCAGGACTTCTAGCTTAAGTGAACCCAGCTAACTGAGAAATCCCGCTTCTTGGAACACCCCCACCCACCCCGGTTCCTGAAAATCCTGAGGTGAGAATTTCACTTTTCCAGGCTGCATCATATACATGTAATTATATTATAGAGGGCATCACATGGCGTTTTCCATAAGTCCTGGTCAAAACGATTTTTAGGTTCTGTATCACACTACATTGGCCTCTGTATCACACTGCATTGGCCTCTGTATCACACTGTATGGTCTCAAAGCTTAGTACGATAAACAGCATGCTGGGACTTCATACAGCAGGTAAAATTTTATACAAGGCTGTAGATGAAATAACCTGCGCTTTCCTGTGAAACTATAGGTTTTTCAGCCACTGCTCAGATACGGCACAGTGCTTCGGATCTGACAGTGGCGCACAAAGACACACACTGTAACAGGTGGAGAAGCGCTGAAAACACCGTCGGCCTGTCAGCTGGGGGCAGCTTCTCTGCGGCTGATGGATTTCCACCTATCTCCACCTCTCTCCTGGTCTGGAGAGGAGTTGTGTATCACATGCTCAGCTGGAGCTAAAAAGAATATAAAAACAGGAAGCCACCTGAGGCCGAGCGTCTCTAGGTCCCCCTGGTGGGAAGGTGCTCATGGCTGGGGCAGGAGACGAGCCTCATCATGAGGCTGCAGATAGGTCCCCAAAGCACCTCTGGCAGGAGATGTTCCACACCCAACCTTAAATGCATTCCCTGGATTTTGTTTACTGATAAATTCTGTGGGTAATAGAGAAACAAAGTTGGGCATCTAAGGAAGATTTGTGTTTTCTTTATTAAAACCTTAGAGATTTGCTATTGAAGACGTCACACTTTCGTCCCAGTTCGACGCCTGCTTTTCAGGAAGGAAACGGGGATTACTAAGTACCATTCTGTTATTATGTCATTGTTATCATATTTCATAAAATAAAATTACACCGTGGTTGGGTCCAGTTCATCAGCCCAAGTAGCTGTTAAAAGTTTTGCATCACAGTTAAACGTGCCATGACAAATATTTATATAAAAATAAAGTTCACCTGAGTCATATACAAAATTCAAAAATAACCACGGAAAGCTCAAATTTTGAGCCAAAGCCTTTGGAATAATGACTGACTTTTTATTGTTTTGTCCTGAAAATGAAAAGAAAAAAAATCCCATTTCCCAATTAATCTCTGTAAAGACTAGATAAAACACGTTTGATGTTTGTTCCGCTCTTTGCAAAGCAACAGAGATGGAGAAAAGGCTGCATTTTTTATGAGATTAAGGGTTATACTCACCTGCCAAGTTATGAAAATTAACCCAGACTAACATTTTAATACACAACAAAAAGTTTAACAGAAATTCAGGTTCAGTCATCAGCTTAATATGTGCCGGTGGGTTCAGTGTGACAAGGTGATGTCCACTAAACACAGATTACTGCAATAAATGCAGGTTTTCATGCATGAAATGGAATTCTTAAGGAAGCCATTATTTAATATTTACGGTATGATAAACATACAGACATTGAATTCACTGGAGATTTTATACATCAGTACAATATAAAATTTCACCAATCCACTTCTTTTCCCAGAGGACAAAACTAGATGTATCATTTTTTCCCATTCCTTCATTTTCCAAATTTAAATTTGGCTATTTCTTCCAGGTCTCCCCAATCATGCCAAATCTAGGCCCAGCTGGATGGGGTCCACCCCCCCGCCCTCGCCGTAGAGCCAGGGGCCTCATTTCACTCTACAGGCTTCACTGAGCCATTCAGCACTGGGGAGGGATCTCGCTCTATTCTGCTCTGCTGGCTGGACCACAGGCGAACAGTAGGTGTCACTGCAGAGAGGCGAGTCAAGCCCAGCCAGCTGACCCTCTTAAGGGAAACACCGTCGACTGAATGCTGCATCACCAATAGGTCACCGGATGCACAAAGGAGCGCAGAGAAGCCTTACTTAATAGGTGCGCATTGACATGCCTCCTTACCATAACACTGGAGCTGAATACACTTAAAACCAGTGTGGCTGGTGGAGAACAGAGATGACAGTCTGCCTGTTTGAAAGAGGGGAGATGGTGGCCGGCATGAGGTCCTGCTTTCAGCGTTTATCACCATTGATACTGCTGGATGTATCTGTGGAGCCCGGCACTGACCTGACTTCATCAAGCGACCTCATACCTCTTCCTGTCTAGCGTGACACGATAATAATGCTTTACTGGTGATTTACTGACCCTTCTTGTGTAATGACACATAGCGGCACGCACCCTGTTCCCAGAGGCAGCTGGTTGAGCTTCGATCCTGCGAATGTGCACGATTGCTTTTACAGGCCATTGTCATCAAGTGTGATCAAAGGCAGCCGCTGCTCGGCGTGAGGGACTAAGCGGCATGTGGCAGGTTTGTGCTTTGATAAGATCTGACACATGTGCTGCCATTTTGTAGACAACACTGCCCGGGGTCAGGGGTACTTCTGGGGTCCGCTGTGGCCCCGTTTGTTTACTGCAGTCCTCTGACATAGTCTGGGCTCATAAGTGGGAGATGGTGTGGTACTCTTGGCTTGATACTCTTGCAGAATACAGCCTTTAATAATTAATAATAATAATAAGAAGAAGAAATACTTAGCACAGATGTACTGCCCTTATCAGTAGACCTCTCCTGTCCCGGTAATATCCCGTTTTGCTGTAGCTAATAAAATGGCGAAGCTTTATCTGGAGTTCTGAAGCAGGAGATGATAGACCTAAAGGAACAGAGCTCTCCAATTTAATGTGTTACTAGCCTGCCAGTAATATACAGCAGGTGTTGCTTAGGGACCGCGCTCCAGACTGATGGCGGATAGAGGCACGTCCCTGGGACCACAACTGTGTGTTTTTTGATTGGTTTCTTATACCTGTGAAAACATCTGACATCTTATTTCTCTTGGTCAACACAAAAAAACAGACTGTACCTCATTGTGTTTTCCATAATGAAAAACTAAAGCCTGAGCCCCTCTCTGTCCACAATCACATGATACGTGACAATCTACCCTATGGATTCCGAAGGATTTACAGCCCGAAGACACCCACCCTGGCTAATAACGCTTGGGAAGCTGTTGCCTTTGCTTCTCTGAGATCTCACCGAAGAGTTTTAATGAGCTAGAAATCCCCAGATTCCCCACCCCGCATCTCCCTGGCCAAAG